TTTAGAGAATGGTCCATGTATTGCTGAGAAGAATGTGTGTTCTGATGTTGTTGGGTGGAACATTCTGTATATGTCTATCAAATCCATTTGTTCGCAGGTGTGATTCAGTTCTGTTATTTCTTTGCTCATTTTCTGTCTGGTTGATCTGTCCCTTGGTGTCAGTGGCATATTGAGGTCCCCTGTTACAATTGTGTTACTGATAATTTGAGTTTTCATTTCTGTTAATGGTTGTTTTATATAACTGGGTGCTCTGGAGTTTGGTGCATATATATTTAAGATAGTTATCTCTTCCTCTTGGATTTTCCCCCTTACGAGTATGTAGTGACCTTCTTTGTCCTTTATGGTCATTGTTGGTTTAAAGTTCACATTGTCTGCAAACAGAATGGCTACTCCTGCCTTTTTTTTGGATTCTGGCTGCATGAAGTATTGTTTTCCATCCTTTGACTTTCAGTCTGTGAGTATCCTTCTGGGTTAGATGGGTTTCCTGTAAACAGTGTATGGTTGGATTTTGTTTCTTGATCCATTCTGCTAGTCTGTTTCTTTTGATTGGTGCATTGAGACCATTTACATTAATGGTTATTACTGTTAAATGCTCGTTTATTGTTGACATGTTATCTCTCTGTTGTTGCATCTTTATCTTTCTGTTCTGTTTAATTATCTGCTTTGATTAGTGGTTTCTTCCTTTGTGTATCTAAACTGTCTTTCAATATTTTTTGCAGGGTTGGTTTGGTATTCATGAAGTTCTTCAGCTGTTCTTTGTCATGGAAGTATCATATTTTCCCATCAATTTTGAATGATAGTTTTGCAGGATACATCAGTCTAGGTTGGAAATCATTTTGCTTTAGGATCTGGAATACTTCACTCCATGCTCTTCTTGACTTTATTGTTTGTGCTAAGAAGTCTGCTGTGATTCTGATAGGTTTTCCTTTATAAGTGATCTGTCTTTTCTCTCTTACAGCTTTTAATAATCTATTCTTGTGCTGGATTTCTGGGATGGTGATTATTATATGTCTGGGTGTAGTTTTATTTTGGTTATGACTATTTGGAATTCTATGTGCTTCACTGATCCTGATGTCAGTTTCTGATTTCATGCTTGGGAAATTTTCAGCTATTACTTCTCTAAATATCTTCTTGATATCCTTTATGTTGTCTCCTTCTTTTTCATTAATCCCTATCATTTTTATGTTATTCTTCTTTGTATCGTCTTGCAGTTGTTGAATTGTTGTTTCCTGATTCCTTGTTATTTTTAAAAGATCTTTCCTTTCCTGTTCACTAGCTGCAATCCTGTCTTCAAGGTCTGAAATTCTATCTTCACTTTCATTAAGGAGGTTTTTTACAACTTTCAGTGGAGTTTTTTATTTCCTGTATATCTCTGTTCATCTGCATTATGTATTCTGTTTGTTTGTTATATTGCTCGTCTAGGGATTCTATCTTTTTGTTTAGTTCCTCCAATTTTTTATCTGTGTTTTTTTTAGATATATTCGAATCTCTTTCATTTCTTTAATCATTTCATCTTTTACCTGGGAGATTATTTTGAGTTTGAATTTCTTTAAAGCTTCCTGGAGTTGCTTGTTAATTTCAGTAGCTATTGTGTCCGATATTTGAGGTGAATGGCATATATTTTCTTCTATATACATTGATCCTAGGGTTTCCTGAGATGGGCTGGAAGTTTGAGATTGTAATTTGGTCTTTCGTTTTGTCATTTTCCTATATTTCTGTGTTTCAAGTGTTATTTGAAAGCTTCCTCAGGGTCTGTTGGAAATCCCCTTCTATGTTTGAAGCTCCTGAGACCCTGGCACCCTGTTACCCCAAGCCTCTGGGCCTGCAGAACCAATGACCCTCCTCTGCCTGTTCAGAACTCTGCAGTTCCAGATAAGCTGGGCCTCAGGGACACTGTGCGCCCACCTGCCCTTTGGAAGCTCCACAGCTCTCCAAGCGCGGCTGGGATGCAGAGGCAGATGTAGCCACCTCAAACCCGCCTCTCCACTTCACTGCATCCGGAAGCTTGGATGGTCCCAAACAGTCTGGGATTTGGGAAGAGTGTGCTGAGCACTCACCACTGGCCATGGTTTCTCTGGAACCTGCAATCCTCCCCTACATGCTGAGATATCCACAGTCCTCCAGACACATGGGGAGGCTGATGCAGGCGCCCCAGATCCGCCCAGGCCCTCCCCTGCACACCGATGGTGAGGTGCGGGAGTCCCAAACAGGCTGGGCTCAGGGGATAGCGTGCACCCGCCTACTTGTTGGAAGCTCCACAGTTCTCCAAGTACAGCTGGGTTGGGGAGGCGGATGTAGAGGCCTCAAACCCACTTCTCCACTTCACTGCACCCGGAAGCCTGGAGGGTCACAAACGGTCTGGGATTTGGGCAGAGTGTGCTGAGCACTCACCACTGGCCTCGGTGCCTCTGGAACCTGTGATCCTCCCCTGCTTGCTGAGATATCCACAGTCCTCCAGACACACCTGAGTACATACATCTTGAGTTACAATAAATCAAATGTATATTACAAAAAGAAAATGAGAGCAAGCAGTACTTTGGAGTGATGAGTCATTTTGTTTACCATTAAACTTGTTGAGCATGCGGAGAAGGTTAGCATTTGCTTTTCTCTCAGTCCCACTCAGTTCCCTCAGGCATCTGTGATGCTAACTTCCCCCTGTGCAAAGTATCATTGCTGTGTTACAAGATGGGGCATGAGCCAGGCATAATAGACTCAGGCCTGTAGTTCCAGCTACATGACAAACTGAAGCAGGAGGATCACAAGGCCAGCCCGGGCAACTTCTTGAAACGCTGTCTCAAAATTAAAAGGGTTGGGACTGTAGCTCAGTGGTTGAGCTACTTAAGTAGTATGAGGTCCTGGGTTCAGTTCCTAGTACTGCCTGCCTGCCTGCCTCATTTTTTGCATGTATTTTTTTCTAAACTGCCTAACCTGATTCCTAAATGCAAGACTTTGGGGGGCAGGTCCTGGATTCAAATCCAAGGCCTCTACATGGCATTACTTCTCTAGCCCTTTTTAAATTTGGTTTTCAGTTATGTGCAGTCATGCTTGGCTAAGCCAAGTGTTCTTCACTAATTCTAAACTAAAGGAACACTGTATGAGAGAATGTAAGGAACTTGCTGAGGGACAGTACTGTATTATACTTGTACTCTTTCGTTACTGTGACAAAAGACCTGCTATCCACAAGTTAAATGAAGATTAGCTCACAGATTATAGAGGTTTAGTTTAGAGTTGCCTGGCAGAGAATAGTCCATAGCAAGGCATGCTGAAAGTGGTGAAGCAGTGAGCTCTCCTTTCTCTTTATATTGCATCCAGGCTAGAAGCCTATTGGTTGGTGCCATCCACACCCCGGATAGGTATTCTGTCTTCAGTAAATAAATCCGTTCAGCCACAACCAGAGTTATGCTACTTCCAATCAGTGAGCTAGCTAATTCAATTATCAGTACCCATATTCTACCCTAGATTCAGCTGCCTCCAGAAAGCCTCATCTTCGAGTATATGAGGCTTTGAGAGACATGTAGGTACAAGATGTAACACTACTTTATGAGTGACTTAAATTTTTAGTGGTGATTTTGACTATATATTATACTACTTCCTTGTCTTTAGTTCCCCTTTGTGTGTGTGTGTGTGGGGGGTTGAGACAGGGTATTGCTATGTAGTTTAGGCTGACCGTGAATTCACTTTTTAGCCCAGGCTGGCCTCGAAATGGTAGTGATCATCTTGTGTCAGCTTCCTGAATCCTGGAATCAGGTGTGCATCACCACGCCCAACTCCCTTTTCTATAGTTCGTGTTTTGTTTTGTTTTTTTGAGATGAGGTCTTGCTGTTTAGGCTGTCCTTCAACTCACTGTGTAGCTTGTGTTGGCCTCATACTCATAGCAGTCCTGCAGAGTGCTGAGATTCTAGATGTGCACCACCAGATTGGCCCTTGGCCTTAGAGCTTAACCTGTCCTAAAACAGGCATTTACTGTACGGGAATTCTGTTTATTGTATTCTGTACTTGCTTTAAGTAAATTCTGTGGAAACTATTATATATACATCTTTTCTGTTTTGTTGAAGACATTTTAATTCTCAGTAGTCTTTTAAAATAATGGGAAGCTTCCTCCAAAAAGATTCCCCCAAGCAAACAAGTAACCTAACCTTTGTAGCATAAGATAAGAGTCTATATGATCTTAACAAAACCCACCAAAGGGTTTTGGTACTCAAGGAAAAAAGCACTCACTTTGCAGTTTTGATTTTGATCCTTTTGGGTTGCCGGATTAGCAATCTTTCATCTTTTTATTTCGTGCAACACTCACCCCAACAATCTTGAATCAGAAAGTAAGTTGTTTTAGTATTAGTAAAAATTAAAGATACTCAAGAATGTCTTGAACAATTGGTTTTTTAAACATCCTAAGAATCAGTTTTGTGATTTTTATAAAATATTTTATATCAACAAAGCTTGGTCTAGTATCGACGTCCTGCGCAGAGTGAGAAGCTTGTAAAGGAGAAGTTTCTGTGTTACGCACCAGTTCCACACACGGAATGTACTCATGCTGCACTGCAGACATGTACTAATAAAAGTAAATCTAAAAATACAGTGGAGTGGGAAAAAACTCACCCTTTTAAATAAAGATTGCACACATACACACAGAAAATATTTCCAAAGCTGCTAAGATAAGGCAAATGTAATTAAAATATAAACCAGTTGGTAGTTGCCGTAGTAGAATCTCTGAGAAGCTTTTTCATTCTTTTTCTATGACCAGCTTTGCTTTTTAGCCCAGCTCCTTGTTCAGCATAGCGATCATTTAAAAACAGCACAAAGCAGAATGTCAGTGAGAAACAAAACAAAATCCAACATAATAAATCACACCTTTAAAACATCAAATTATTTAACACCCGAAAGTCATTATTTAGAACTGAACTGCAGTTTTGTTTAATAAGTGATATTCCTAAACAACTGAAATTGACAGTCTGATCATCTCAGGAACTTATGTACATTATATTTTTGTTTTTTTTAGGTCTGTGCTTGGGGATGTGGGGCATGTTTAGGTTGTGGTTCTTCAGAGGCCACTGCTTTGTGACCCAAGCTAATTGAAGAACTGTCTGCCACTCGAATAGTTGATATTTCTATTGGAGACAGTCAATGTTGGGCTCTTTCTCATGGTAAAGTCATTTGTCTTTAAAAAATAGTATTAACTATTATCTTTCTTACATATCTTATGTTTAAATTTATGTTTTCATTTGTAATTTTTATGTTCAGATAATGAAGTTTATGCCTGGGGCAATAACTCAATGGGACAGTGTGGCCAAGGAAATTCCACAGGTCCTATCACTAAACCAAAGAAAGTGAGTGGCTTAGACAGCATAGCTATTCAGCAGATTTCAGCTGGAAATTCACATAGTCTGGCATGGACTGCTCTCCCTCGGGACAGGTAAGAGTGCTGCTCTTTTAATCATAGTAGAAACCCCATAAAAGCAAAAATAACTAGATTTTGTTCATAAAATCTCTTTTCTGAATATTTCTATTATTTTTCACTATCATAGTAATGATATTTATATTCCTTTTCTTTGAATATTGAGGCTTATGTGTTTCTTAAGCAAGAAGTTTCACCCTACATTTAAGAGATATTCTTCGTCTTCTTTTTTTTTTTTTTTTTTTGGTACTGGGGATCAAACTCATGACCTCGCACTTGCCAGGCAGATAGGCACTGATGCCACTGAGCTAAATCTACGGCAAGATATTCTTAATTGTTAAACATTTTTAATTTGTTCTGTATCTTTAGGTAAAGGTGTTAGAAATTGTATCAGGAGAAAAAATAATTAAAATCAGAATGATGCTTTATTGATTTAAAACAATTACTAACCTCACTATGATTTATCTGGTTTGTTTTTTGGGAAAAAGAAAATTGTGGCCATACTTTTTTTGTTTGTTTTAAATTTTAAAACAACAACAACAAAAGATACAGAATTTCAAAACAAAATAATAAGAGATAAATTGGTTAATACATTGCATATTGTTATCTTCAAAGTACTTCAGATACACAATACAGGCATTAAAAAATGATCAAACAATGAAAGTAGAAATTGTTTTTTTTTTTTTGATGATCTAACAGAGATTAGTAGTATGGTTATATATCTTGTGTGTTTTATGTATCTTTTCCCTTCTTTTCTCCTTCCCCCATCCCAGTTGTTCTTTCCTGTTGAGCAGTTTCTTTCACTTTCACTTTAACATTCATGGTACCTATTGTGGCCATACTTTTAAATTAAGGGGGCTTTTTATCTTATTATTTTGCAGAAATGTAGCTTTTTCCTAAGGTGATAGCCATACCTTTTAAACTAATAATGTATATAGGTAAGGTTTTTAGTCAATGGTAGATTGAATTTTAAGAAATGTTTGAGTTACTTCAGAGTTTTGTCGATGCATGTGGGCTGATACAAAGCTTATAATGCTTTCTGTTTGCATTCGAGACCTCTGTGTTATTATTTTTTAAGCAATTAAAAATTCATAATCACCTCCAAAAGAGCCTAAAATAAATGAATATCAGAAATTTGTATTAGTATTAAATTTGCAGCTTCCTACTTCATATGTATGTGTTGTTTCTCAAGATCTTTAAAGTCTTCACACAAAGGTTTCATGAATTTTTTCTTTTAATATATTACAGTGTATCATTCTATAGACTCATACTAATTTTCTTACTATGAAATATAAATATAGACTCTTAGAACCAGAATTTAGTATATCATGTGACTCAGTCCTCTATGGTCAGTAACTAGCCAAGCCTTCTTGCACAGGTGATAGTTAACATGTTCTTCTCTTTCTCCTTCTCATTCAAAAACCTTTTGAACCCAGGGACACTGTACCACTGGGCTACATGCCAAGCCCTTTTTCTTTTTGAGACAGGGGTTTGCTAAATTGCCCCAGGATTTGAATTTGTGATCCTCCTATCTCAGCCTCCCAGAGTGTTGAGCTTACAGACTTGCACTACCACACCCAGTTTGTTTCCTTTTTAAAGATGGTAAATTCTTGGTTTCTTCACTTGCTAAAAGTTGTATTACCTTCGTAATTGGAAGCATTTTTGTGTATCTTGTCAAAATCTCTCAGCTTTAGTCTGCTGTGATTTTAGTTTTTGATCATGTATGAAATTTTTTTCTTTTACTTTCTTTTTTGGTAACGGGGATCAAACTCAGGACCTTGCACTTACCAAGCAGGTGCTTGTGCCACAGAGCTACATCCCTGGACATGAATGGCATTTCATTTTAAGCTAGGCATGGTGGTGCATACCTAAAATCCTAGCACTCAGGAGGCTGAGGCAGGAGGATTGCTGCAAATTTGAAGCTAGCCTTTACATAGTGAGTTTAAGGATGGCCTGAACTATACAATGAGACTCTCTAAAAACCAACCAAACAAACAATTCCTTCTGCCTCCCAAAAAAGGGGTACTTTCATTTTAAGACTCTTTTATGGTTTCCTTATACTTCCTCTAGACAAGTTGTTGCATGGCACCGACCTTACTGTGTAGATCTTGAAGAGAGTACCTTCTCGCACCTGTGTTCCTTTCTTGAGAGATACTGTGATAAAATAAACAGAGAGATTCCCCCCTGCCTTTCCTGTCATCAAGGTATGTTATATTGTTAAGTATGTGCATTTTGTGTGTTTGTGTGGGCATGTGTATGAATTATTTTTGACATTTGACTTACTGTTCTTTCTTGCTTTTGCCCAACTTATGTGAAGCTTCTTCAGATGCTAGAATAAAGCTAAATTTTTATCCCTAATAACATCTAGGTTTTAGTATGTTATCCATAATTTCACAAGTCACATTTTAGAAACTACAGTCAGTCATGACTGGACAACATTTTTAATGATAAGGAACTGTTACCAAACAATAGCACGTGTACTTGTGCGTTTTGGAAATTCACTGTAGTATATTTGGTTTCAGGGAACATCACAGTTTCCTCAAGCTATGCCTGAAGCTTCTTTCAAATCATCTTGCTCTTGCACTGGCAGGAGGGGTAGCCACCAGCATTCTTGGGAGGCAGGTGGGGCCACTTCAAAATCTGCTCTTCAGGCTGATGGACTCAACTGTTCCTGATGAAATCCAAGAGGTAAAAGAATAGGGCTTGTAAGTCTGTAATGCAGACCACACATGTGGTATATTCAGCTGTGTATGGAACAAGTTCATTGCATATTCTTTCTCTTATCTTGGTAGGTAAATATTTTGGATAACTCATCTTTGAAGATAGAGGCCATCGCTGAGAAATCTTTCAGTCCTTGCTTCTCACCAGCTTAGATTTCTCTCATGTGTGTTCTTATTGTGTCATACTGTATTACAGTTTCAAACATTTCATTTACAAACATGTTCATCTTTTTCACCACAAGATGAATTTCTGAGGGGAAAGGCCCAGTTTTACTTATTTTTGTATCTGAGTAAGTGGCTAATCTCCTACCAGGACCCTACTCAGAACTGGGAGGAGAATTCACCAGTGAAGCCATTTGATCTTGGATTTTTCTATCTGGCATTTATTATCTTGATCATGATCATCATCATGGTCATCATGAATTTAGTGTCTCATTCATTATAGGTCCATTCAGATTTTCTGTTTCGTCTTGAGTCAGTTTGGCATTTCAGTATATGCAGATAGAAGATACAAATAGGCTTGGGGAGGAACAAGTGACTAGAACAGTGAGTATAAATGAGTAGATATTGTTTGGAAAAGTTTTTTTTGTATTGTAATACAATTCTAGTTTTTGTAGTATATGAAGTCTCCTTGCAGTGCAACCATAAAGACAAAAAAAATCTAAGTTAAAAGATGAACAAAAAATGTTAGCAGACATATTTTCAGAAAAGATATTACAAATAAGCACCTGAAGAAGTACTCATCACTACTCACCAGTGAAACACAAATGCAAGCCACAGTGTGATACTTCTTCACATCCGTTAAATAGCCAGAATCAGGAAAGACTGACAACAGCATGTGTTTAAGGTGGGGGAGGAATTCGAGTGCTCATACCTTCAGATGGGAATTTAAAAGGATGCCACTGCTATCCAGTTCCTTAAATATAGTTACCATATGACCCATATGATCTGTACCCAAAAGGATTGAAAACATATGTCTCTGTAAAAGTTGCTGTGGAAATACTGATAGAGGTGTTATTCATAGCAGCCAAAGAGTGGGGACAGCTGAGCGTGGTGGCCTCTGCCTGAGCAACTTGATAAGACTGTATCAAAACAAAAGAAGAACTGGCAGAGAAGCTCAGTGGAGTACTTGCCTAGAAGGTGTGAGATCCTAGGTTCAACTGATAACCTTTAGCACTGAGGAAAAAAAGGAATGATGCAAATATGTGCTGGCCACTAAGCCAAGTGTGGTGTGTTTATATAATGTAACATTACTGAAATGTTACATTTCTATAAAAAGAAATGGAGTATTGATAGGCATTACAATATGACTGACCCTTATGAACATTATGTAAGTGAAGGAAACTGATGCAGAAGGCTTCATATTTCTAACTCCTCAAAGTTTAAAATTTGTGGAGATAGCAAATGTGTAGAGAAAGGAAATAGATTAGTAGTTGTCACAGACTTGGGAATAATAGAGAATGACTGTGAAGGGGCACAGTTTGTTTTTGGGATGATGAAAATGTTCCGAATTATGAGTAACTCTATAAATGTGGTAAAAAAAAAAAAACACTTAATTTTGTACTGTCAGAAGGTGAATTTTATCGCACATAGATTATATGTCAGTTTTTTAAATAAATGAATAATACAGTAGTGATTTTTCTACTAGAACATATTCTCTTGGATCAGGAAGAGAGTAACATTGGAGTTGGGGTGAAAAGGAACTGTAACAATTTAGTATTTATCAGAAATGGGATAGTATGAGCTTAACATAACAAACAGCAAACTAAAAATAATCTTTGTTTGTTTTCCATTTCCCCCTTCTACTTTCATGAGAAATTTAGTGTTACATTTTAATCATTCCATTGAAATTTAAAATGTTTCTTTTATTTTTAGAATATAAAAGGCTTTTCTTTATCCTGCAAGTATCCCCTTATTTTTGTAGCCTCTTGTTCTGATTTTGTATTTTTTAATATAATTTTTTTTCTTATTTTTCTATGTAGTTGCTTTAAACAAAAACAAATCAGAGTATTAGTTTTAGTCCGTCTTTCCCATGACAGGTTTTTCTTGTGTTTTTAATGAATTTTGGATGTCTGCGTTTAAGAGTGTGACTCTAACGGGCTGTTGAAAGTCCTCTGCACCTGAATAGATTTTATCAACCTTGCTGTGAATGGATGAACAGGCAGTGGGGAATGACTCAGATTCCCCATAGGAAGGCTCTTCTTATCTCCTGCCAGAGGTGTAGAGTTGGACCACAGTTCTGTGGTGGGCAGAAGAGCTCAGATGCCTCGGTACTCATACTGAGCAATGTATCTTATGAATTCCTCTGCACTCAGTTCTGTATTACTACCCTCAAGTGTGCTCCTTATCTCACCCAGTTTTTAGCTAATTCTTTGGTTTTAAGCCCCTCCCTTAGCTACTGTTGCAAAAATACCTGAGCCTCTAGGAATTCTATAGAATGGATGAAAGTACTTTTTGATTATCAGTTTTTAAACTTAGGATACAACGTTTTCAGCTCTAAGTCAGTTAAACACTTGCTGCTTTCTGGTTTCAAAGTTTGTTTTTCGTTTTTTTTGTTTTGTTTTGTTTTTGTTTTGTTTGTTTGTTTTTTTCGTTTTTATCGGTACCAGGAACTCACAACCACACACTTGCAGGCAGGTGCTTATGCCGCTGAGCTAAATCCCCAGCCACTATTCCAAAGTTTTGATGCTGTTTCCCCTTACCACTTTTTTCATTTTTGATCTTTTTGTATGAAGCTCTCTTCTGCCATCTGTCCTTTTCTTTTCTTTTCTTTTTTTTTTTTTTTTTCCTTTTTATCAGTACCAGGGATCAAACTCAGGACTACCTGCTTGCAAGGCGGGCGCTTATGCCGCTGAGCTAAATTCCCAGCCCCTCCATCTGTCCTTTTAAAAGCGCTTTTGGAAATAGAATACATTTATTTGTTCCTTAATCCTATTCGCCTTTGTTGAATTTCTGTAGCTAGAGTTTAGTTTGATTATAGTAACCCGAGGAAATCTTTAAAGGTTCTTCCAATTCTTAGCCGTTGGAGAGCAATGTTTTCTATTAGAAGAATTACCGTTATTGTGCAATTGAATTTTTCATCATTATATTATATAATCCAAGTAAGCAGAAACATTGACTAATAGAGAAGTTACTAAAATTTAAAAGCCCTTTAGTGTTTATCTAGACTGACACTCTGATTTTGTTAATGAAGAAATCATGACCTATAGAGGTTAAGATAGTGAAGCTAGCTATTCCTTATACTATTCTCTCTGCCTGGATCTTTATGTGACTAAGACTGGTAACCGTGATTTTAAATACCTAATGACCTTCAGGAGCTGTGGGCCATGCTGCTTGCACCTCCTTCATATATGTGTTCACAGAAATTCTCACTGCTTTGTAACTTTTCTTGTGTGACTCTTTTCACAATTACTTGTTCAAGCCCTGCCCCATCCGATTATATTCTTATGAAAATGGGACCTTACTCTTCTGTATCACTTTGCACAGTTCTTTCTTTACCCAGCACTGTAAACTGAACCTTAAATATTTGTTGGGTGATGATTATGTTGTAACAAATTCAGAGTTTGTATTCTCGACTTTTTAAAGATATCTAGAGAAGGATTTGCATGTTTTTTCCCCACATGCTACCTTCTTTAGACTTTCGTGATAATTATAGATTCACTTTTCATGTGTTTTTTATTTAAGGGATAAACAGTATTCATTCATTAAATGAATACTGTTTTCTTTTTTGATATTAGGTGGTAATTGAAACTCTGTCAGTAGGAGCAACCATGCTATTACCCCCATTAAGAGAACGGATTGAGTTACTTCATTCCCTTTTACCCCAAGGGCCTGATAGATGGGAAAGCTTATCTAAAGGACAGGTAAGCCTTTGTGTGGCATCTAAGTAAACTGATTGTATCATAAGACATTGGAGTGAGAGGAAAATAAGCTGATCAACTGCCATGTGTTCATGGGGCAATACTTGATGTATCTGGTTGTTTAATGTTATATGTTGGAAGAATTGCAGATGTTTAGTGATTACAGGTAAAGCAAATAATAAATTATTTGGGACTAATTATTAAAATAACAACTGATTTCCCCAGTGTTGATTGCTGTGTCATCCCTCTGATTCTAAAGCTATGTGCTACTGCTGTTGGTTCCATTGACAGACTTTGAATGCAATTGTTTATCTAAAAAGCAAAAGATGACCATTAAGGAAAAGTATTTAAGGATATAAATATTCTTATTTTTCACTTCTCTTGGGTATATTGAAATAAGTATATTTTGCTGTACCAAATAGAATCAAATTTAGAATGGCCAGGTGTGGTGACACATGCCTGTATTCCCAGCATTCGGATGGCTGAGACAGGCAGGTCACTGGGAATTCGAGGGCAATCTGGGCTACAAAGTGAGTTCAAGGCCAGCCCGAACTACACAGTGAAAACCTATCTCAAAAAGACAGGAAAAAAAAAAAAAAAAAGAAAAGAAAAAAGAAAAGATTCAAATCTAGAGATACAGATTTGAGGAAAAATGGTACTTACAATATATATCCACAGATGGTTTCCAGTGAGTATTTTGTATTAGTTTAAGTTTCAGATGATTTATTTTAAACATTTAAATAAGTAGTCATTGGCAATCCTTTAAAATAACACTTATAATTTGTCTGTTGGCATTTCCTATTCCTATTTGTAGTACTTAAATTATGATGCACAGTATGCCACTTTAGCTAAGAGTTTTAAGTATTATAAGAAGGATACACTAAGCCATTAAGTTATATTTTTAGTAGTATTAATTGGATAGTTTTTCTTATAATTATATACTTCCTGCAGATTATTGTTTAATCAGGTTATTACATAGGTTAGTTAGCATAATTAGTATATTTTCCTAGATCATTTTGCTTTCTCATCAGTATGTTGTAAGCTATCCATGTATTCCTGTTTCATTGCTCTTTAGAGAATGCAACTGGACATCATTCTGACAAGTTTGCAGGATCATACACATGTCGCCTCCCTACTTGGCTATAGCTCGCCCTCTGATGCCACTGATCTCTCTGCTGTGTGCACTGGCTATGGAAACCTGTCAGATCAGCCCTATGCCACTCAGAGCTGCCATCCCAACACCCATCTGGCTGAGATTTTGGTGAAAACTCTCTTCAGAAATTTAGGATTTTATACAGTAAGTTGCTTTTTTCATTGCAGCAAAATAAATAAATAAATAAAGTAGTATCTCCTCACGTTAAGGTAGTTTGACCTTTAAAATCTTAAAATATAACCTTCCCATTTCCCCAAAGTGAGACATGAATCAGGTCTTATGAAATATTATGAGGCCTCAGTGAAATGTATTTGAGAATTACAGAGAGATTAATGTTAGAATTTTACCAGCCTCTTTCATGTTAACAAAGAATAAGCAGATAAAAACTGTCAAAAAATTTAAAGAAAATAATGAACAAGGGGGATACAATGTTATATAATTTAGTTATACTAAGAATCGACTGGTTAGTAGAGGAGGAGACAGTAGGTCCCATCACACTATGTATATTAGAGTGCCATTAATTCCTCCTTTCTGTTTCTTAAATCCATCCCTCCCCCCCCCAACAAGTGGCTATTTTAGGTCAAGCTTAGTCATTATTGATCTAACATTAATAACTGTGTTGTAGCTGTTGTCACTATTGCTGCTTTCTTTTCAGGATTTTATTGCTGGAATAATCTCTCTGTATTAAAAAGCCCTTCAGTCATCTTTCATCATTGGCTCATGCACCATTCTTGTCAGTACCTTTCTTACTGGTGTACCTTTTCCATTTGTACATGGTAGACTTGTGTCCTGATTGTTTTTTTTTACCAATCTGACTTCTTTAAGGTTTGCCATTTTAGGGAGCCTTGTTCATCCAACCATGTGATTGATTATAGTAGCATACAACTATATTGCTAAGCACTTTTGGGATAAGTGGCTTAACTTCAAATCGTTTGTATATAATTTCATGTTGTCTTCTATAGGACTGGGTTTGTATATTGTTTTTTCCTTGTATAAGTCTAGTGCTATGTTCTGCCCACAGTAAAAGGCTATTGACTAGGTCTGAAAATTGTTCCTGCAGAATTATTTTCTTTTTTGCCTAGAAATTTGAATTGCATGTGGTGTTTGGTATTTTTAGGAAGTAATGGCTACAAATTGGACAGGGGTGATGTTAATAGTTTGTGCATTTGTTAATGACTGAAATTTTTTCCCAAACTTCTACAGAGCCTGTTTGCTATATTAAAGCAGTTGTGTTCATATATGATTAAGGCTGAGTTAAATGTGAATGCTTTATGGAAAAGGAGATAAAATATTATTCACTTTTGAATTAAAATTATAAATTATTGTTTATCTAAAATACAATTTAAACCAATTTGTTATTTTTTTTTGTCTTTTTCCTTTTTATTGGTACCGGGGATCGAACTCACAACTGCCTGCTTGCAAAGCAGGCGCTTATGCTGCTGAGCTAAATCCCCAGCCCCCTAATTTGTTATGTTTTAAGACTTTAAAAATAATAGTGCTATTGTCAGTTTACAAGCAAGGGCCTTAAAATGTTCTCATAGTCATATTGTAAACCTAGACTGAATTGTGTGTGTAAAAATATTCAAGTTATTGATAATAAAAATTAGAAATAATGGAAATACTTAAATAGAGGAATGGTTCAGTAAGTAATGATATATGTGGTCAATAGAATCTTATAACTTAAATTTTATACACATGTGGTTTGTAGAAATGTTGGCCCAAAATAAATAAATCAATAAATAATGAATCTGGGCATGTAGCTCAGTGGTAGAGTGCTTGCTTAGCATGCACAAGACCCTGAGTTCAATTCCCAGTACCCTGCCCCCCAAAAAAGAGAGCGAACACTATAGAAATATTTGTAATTCTGTTGGAAAGGAACAGGCTAAAAATAGACTATGCAGTTTTATGTAAACATGAAACAGACCAAAAAAATACTAGTAATTATTTTCTTAGGGTAATTGAGCCATTACCTAATGTATAGCCTGTGTTTGAATTTCAGCTAAAATTAAAACACAGCCCAATTATTTAAATATAGCATGGTCATACAGTGCATTTTTTTGGTTAATTTTTATAAGACAGGAATTGACTGGTTCAAGTGACACCCGTGTGAACAGCGTTCAGGATAGTGTAGAGACAAATGTGCCTCTCCAGTGATGGTAGGAGTAAACTGTTAATAATTGTCCTAGCAGTATCTTCTATAGCAATTTCCCTCCCAGGTCAGTATTTGGTCCAGAATCACATATTGTATTTAGTTGTTAGGTCTTTTGGTTCAGTTGAGAGCCAAAGGGAGAGAGAAAGTATAAGAGAAATTGAGCTTTTGGAGATATCTCTGCTTAAAAGGGGTACAGAACAAGTTGGGATGACAAAAAGTTTTGTATAAAGAAAAGGGTTTGGAATCTGCAAAGGGTAGGTTCTGTCTGGAGAGGTTGTGTAGGTTGGCTGTCAGCCCCCATAATGGAGACTGTAGACCAGGTACATCATCCTGAGAATGCAGGTAAAACACTGTAGGTGGTCCCCGTGTTGGCAAGAAAAGAGAAGGTTTTACCTGAGATATCCAGCAAGACTTAGGGCTCTGAGAGAGATACCTTGGTTGGGGTCATGGGCCCTCAGCCCCCTCAATCCTCTTCAGTGACAAAACTGAGCAGGTCATTGAGCAATGAGTTCAGTGTCAGTGGTGACATAATCTCCTATAAGGGTAGAGAGTTTGATGACTTACCTGCTTTCTGGTTGACAGAGCAGTTGTACTTGCAGTGACCCTCTTGTTTGCAGATGGGACAGGATCCCAGTGGTGGCCATGGGTCAGGGCAATCTTGTGTCCAGTGCCCTTTCCTGATGCACCTTAAGCATGGTCCTGGAGAGCCTTGGGTTTTAGATTTTTCTTTGACCATATATTTTATTTTGAGCTCTGAGTGCCGCAGCCAGAAATTAGCCTTGAAATTTAGTCTGTAGTGCAACTTTTTTAGTTGTCATGTTTCTTTAGTCCATTTATTTACTTTTTGTTTCAGTTTTTATTTTTGTTTTTGAAACAGGGTCTCACTATATAGTGCAGGCTGGCCTTGAACTCACTGTGTAGTCTTGAGTGCTGGGATTATAGGCATGTGCCACCACATCTGGCCTTTTTTTTTTTTTTTTTTTTTTTTTAAATCGGTGCCAGGGATCGAACTCATGACTGTGCGCTTGCAAGGCAGGTACTTATGCCGCTGAGCTAAATCCCCAACCCCTCTATGTTCTTAGAAATCTATAAGCATGTGGAAATAAAACCTTTAAACAGAAGATCTGAAAAGGAATAGCTTATAGCTTAAAAATGTTTTATATGTTGTCTTTTTCTTTTTTTTTGTACCAGGAATTGAACTCAAGATTTTGTGCTTACGAGGAAGGTGCTCGTGCTGCTGAGCTACATCCCTCACCCCAATATGTGTGGCTTTGATTAGTTGCTCACTCTCTTTTCTTGTTTTCTATATTTTCAAAGATGTTAGAGTTGAGTGTATGTTACTTCTTAAATTGAAAAAACAAATCGAAACTTTTCTTTCTACTAGTTTATTACAAGAATTATAGCAAAGATCAAAACATTGATAATTGAGGCAGGTATTTTGGCATATACCTGTAATCTCAGCACTTCCAGGGTCCTGGGCCAGGAAGATTGCAAGTCCAAGCCTAGCATGCCCAGTTGAGGTAGACCTTTGTCACAAAGTGAAATATTTAAAAGGGCTTGAAAAGTACTTGTAGCTTCATACAAAGGCCCTGGGTTCAATCCCAGAGCTGAGGAAAAGAAATTGGTAATGGGAGAAAGAACATAATACCTTTTAAATCAGAATCTTTCATGACAGACATTACTTTCATTTGGAAGCCTTACAAATATAATCTTTAACATGTCATTTTAGGATCAAGCATTTGGAGAGCTAGAAAAGAATAGTGATAAATTTCTACTTGGAACATCATCATCAGAGAACAGTCAGCCTGCTCATCTTCATGAACTGCTGTGTTCATTACAGAAACAGCTACTGGCGTTTTGCCATATTAATAACATTAGCGAGGTATGTGATTCTTTGTTTTTTATGGACATCTATCAGGACCTTGAAACTTGTGTATTTGGGTGTGCCATAATTTCATACCTTGAGTATTTTACCATAATAATTAAGGAACTTTTTTCTCCTTAGAACTCAAGCAGTGTGGCATTGCTTCATAAACATCTGCAGCTCTTGTTGCCTCATGCCACAGATACTTACTCCCGTTCTGCAAATCTGCTCAAAGAAAGTCCTTGGAATGGCAGTGTTAGAGAAAAATTAAGAGGTTTGTTTCGTGTTGAACTGCCATCTAATGAGTAGTTTAAAAGTAATAATTATTAACCCTTGAGGGTCTGCAGCCTCTGAGTACAAGAAGAATTGTCTTGAATCTTTTTTATTGAGTATTTCTTTAATCTTGGTTTGGAGTAATGGTAGCACTAGAAGAGTCTAACTGACATGATAAAGGCTTAATTTATAGGCAATGGATGGTGTAAAGTCCAAAAGATTAATTTCAAGTGGTATAATGTGTTATTATTTTCTTCTATTTCTTTATCTTGCTCAAGCGTTTGCCAGTGTCGATTTTTCCTTCTGGAAAGCTTTCTTCCATGATCTTCTGTGTGATCACAGTCCTTTTTTTTTTTTCATCTCTCTGACCACTATTTTTCCATGAGCTCTGATAGGCCCCTCTTGTTTCAACAGTGCCTTTCATGTCAAGGATCCTGTGAATCTGTTTTCAGCCCTCTTTTCCTTTCTGAATGGTTTTATCTAATTTCAGAGTCCTTTAACCACCATGGGTTTTACAGACTCCAATGTGAGAATTCCTTTCCTGAGCACTAGAACTTTTGCCTAACTAAAATCCAGCATGTCTGTATCAAACCATCTCATCTCTGAAAGTTTCCCTGCTAAGGAAAGAAATAAATGAGCTGAAGAACTGAAACCACTTCTGATTAGATGTCTCCATGTGGTTGTTCCACAAGGAACTAAAATTAAGCATCTTCACACTGAACTCATTTTGAATGCTCCTTTGAGTCCTAAATACAATGAAACATTTAAACAAATGTGATTTAAAATCTCTGCCTGTAATAAAAACATTTCAAAAATACTTAAAAAGTTTCTAAAACTACAAAGTAACCGCAAGGGCAGAAAGTTTTGGTTGCTTTGGTTATGGCTATATATCATCTTTGCCTAGAGTGGTGCTTGGTCTTGCAGGTAACTCAGCAAATGTTTCAGTCAATTTCCAAATGAATGAGAAATTCATAATGTATGTTCAAATAATTATAATGTTTTGAATTGATTGGCATGAAAGACAGGTATGCTTTCCTACAAAGTGTCTATTGGTGGTACATTCTGAAAGTGAATAAATATTAGTCTTATAATCCACAAACGAGCCCCCAAACTCAAGTTTAAAATGAGGCAAAAACATATTTTAAAAAGCAGCGCTGATTTATTTTATCCTGGGCCCAGCGTAACACTGCAGTTGGAAATTGCAAAAGCTGTGTGTTGCCCTCAAAAGCTTGCAGCCTTTATGTATATATCACAGTTTACAAAGTAAGGGGTTATGGGCGTGGATCAGGAAATCTGCTAAGAAAATATTTTAGTCTAGCAGTAATGAACAATCTTTTGTTATTTTATTTTAGCACCACATCTGTTATTTGTAGAGGGCAACAATGGTTAACATATCAACTAGGTTTGGTTCCCAGGGACTCACAATTCTTTACAGAGGAGAGCATTGATTAACATATCAATTAGATCACGGGGGGGGGGGACCACATACAGAACAGTAAGGCCACGTTACAGGTATTTTGGTATAATACAAATATAACAAAGCTCTTTTTGCTAGTGTACAGAAATTAGTATGGTACCAGCTAGCAGGGAATGTTCAATAGTTTTCAGCTTAGTCTACTTTCTTCCAAACCAAAGTAATTTTTCTTCCATTTATTTTTGTTTGAAATAGTTGTTTATGTTGCATTTCTTGCCTCTTATAGATGTGATATACGTCTCAGCTGCAGGCAGTGTGCTCTGCCAGATTGTTAACGCCCTACTGTTACTCCCAGTGTCAGTGGCTCGTCCCCTGTTGAGTTACCTCCTGGATCTCTTGCCACCTCTTGATTGCCTTAATAGACTCCTGCCAGCTGCTGCTCTTCTAGAAGACCAAGAGTTACAGTGGCCTCTTCATGGTAAGTAAAGGTAGAAAAAGGGTAAATAGTGCTTTTGAGGAGATACTCCTCTTGTGTGCATCAGCTCAAATCATGTCTGATTATGGGTGTTTTGTGTAATCAAAAGATTATCTTCTGGCTGGGGATTTAGCTCAGCGGTATAAGCACCTGCCTTGAAAGCAGGTGGCTGTGAGTTCGATCCCTGGTACCGATAAAAAAAAAAAAAAAAAAAAAAAGATTATCTTCTAAAAGTTTATGGTCTAAATTAGGCAAGTGACATGGCACTCTGAAGAAAGATGCTTATGTATAAATAAAAGTCATAAAAAGTATCCTTATTGTCATTAGGTTAGGATTCTGTATTTTACTGGCACTAAGACTTTTTGCTTCAATTTTTTTTTTGTCTTTTTCCTTTTTATCGGTACCAGGGATTGAACTCACGACTCTCTGCTTGCAAGGCAGGTGCTTATGCCACTGAGCTAAATCCCCAGCCCCTTTTTCTTCAAATTTTGACATAGGAAAAATTGAGATACATCTTACGATGTATAATAGGAAAGCCTTGTGTCATAATTTAGCATCATTTTACCTTAGAGGTACTCAAAGATAATGGTCCATGTAATCATCAGTGCATTACTGGATTCCATGTAAAAGTTCTTTCTTTCTTTCTTTCTTTCTTTCTTTCTTTCTTTTTGTGGTGGGGAGGTACTGGGAATTGAATTCATGACCTTGTGCTTGCCAGACAGGCACTTATGCTGCTGAGCTATATCCCTAGCTTTATTTTTTAAATATATGGTTTCAGTTTTTAAAAAGGTAATATGATGATAGAAAGGGGACCACAGTATTAGGAAATGGAAAGGGAAGGAAAGTAGTGAAGGTAGAAGAAGAAGACAAGGTAGTAGAGGGAAGGTAGACAAGATAGAACAAAGCTGGCCACTGAGTGACATTAGACCTGGTTGCAAGCTTTAAAGTCATTCCTGTGCTTTGTTGCAGTCCTGTAAAATTGTGAAGCTTTGTCCAGTCATCTCCCTGTTAAGGTGATACCCACCATGGTAGCCCAGACATACTAGAAGTGGGCAGTTATCTATAAATCAAGTGTGTATCTTTGTTAATGCTTTTGGAATACTGCTGAACCCAACCAAAGAAAACATTAATTTCCCTATTGGAAAATCGTGTAATGGTTAGGAAAACAATTATTAGTCTGACTTTAACAGACATAGTATAGCTATGAGAATATATTTAAGCCAAATTTATTTACCTAATTTGTCCTGAATAAACTTCCTTATTCTTCCTGCAGAATATTTCATTGTTTATCTTAAAGTTAGGAGTTTTATAAAGAAAGTTTATATTTAGTAGTACTTCTCTGTTTTAATTTAGCTTGTATACCAAAGAATATATATAAAAAGCATTGTATGTGTCTTGGTTACTTTTCTCTCATTGCTGAGATAACATACCCAATGCTTAAAGAAGGAAGAGTTTATTTAACTCACAGTTTTTGAAGGTTTTAGTCCATAATCAGCTGGCTCCAAGGCCGGGTGGCATGGCACTGGGGTAACACTTCAAGGCAGCAGAAGACAGTAAAAGCAGCAAGAGCAAAAAATGGCAGAATAAGCCTCTTTTCTTCCCTTAAATTGTAAATAGGCTATCCATCTTTGGGTGGGTGTTGCACTCACACCATCTCCATGGTGTCCTCTTGCGCAGGTTCAAAATGATTGCAAAGTGAGGTCCCTGGTCCCCTGTTGAGTCATTTAGTTAAACTTCTAAACTTTTCAAATTGACACAGTGAATAACATCCTGTAGTGGTAAGGGTATGTCCTCTAGGATGTAGAACTGCTGAGTTACTTGTTAAACTCTTTCCTTCTCAAGTTGACACAGTGAATCATAATTCTATGTTTTCATGGTAAAATTAGGTTACTTCAGTAATTTATTGCAGTGTGATAGAGTAAAGCCATGAGAAAACTTTGGCTCTTAAAAGTGCCAAGTGAAGATATGATCACTAATGATTTGTCTTTAGGAGGGCCAGAAGTAATCGATCCTGCTGGTGTTCCATTACCTCAGCCCGCTCAGTCTTGGGTGTGGCTTGTGGAGCTGGAAAGAACAATTGTTCTCCTTATCGGGCGGTGTCTTGGTGGCATGCTTCAGGGTTCCCCCGTGTCTCCAGAGGAACAGGATACTGCTTATTGGATGAAAACACCACTTTTCAGTGATGGAGTTGAAATGGACACTCCTTAGCTAGGTAATAAGCTTCTCTACAGCATTTAAAATGCATGCTTATTTGTACTTCCATTTTTTCGTATTCTGAGTTTGCTGAAGAAAGAACTAACTGATGGATGATTGCAAAATTGACCATTTTAGGGAAGACCACAGAATAAAGCAATAAAGTCCTACACAGTGGTGTAGTGAAAAGAGTACCCTTCCCCTCAAAGTGTAGATCTGATCTCACTGTTTTGTATTTTATCACTTACTACTTGTGTTTTTGAGCAAGTCTAACTTACAAAATAGAGAAATGCTTGAAATTAGTTGTGTTTTTCATAAAACTGCTTCATATAGAGTAAAGCACTGTAGGAGTAGGTGTCGTGATTTAACAGTGTGCAGGAGTGATAGTCTCCCCACACCCCCGTTGCTTGTAGTGTCTTTGAGGTTTGTCTTTCCTGCCTCAGCTTGCATTTCTCTACTTTATTGGCAGGCTACTTCTCAGATCAAACATGAAGATTTACCCTGTTCTCCAACAGATGACCTTACTTTATTTATTTGAGAATGGTCTTTTAATCTCTCTGGTCTTTTAATTTTGATTCTTTGAAATTGTAAGTCAGAATAGATATGGTATAATTAGATCCAAAATTCATTATTTCTCTGATAAGAGGAGGAGACCCAAAGAGTGTCAGCAGAAGAAAGTAAGAGCAAGAACAGGGGAGAGGGAAAGAAACAGAAATAGGAGGAAGTGAGAGAAAAGAAGAAGAAGAAGAAGAAGAAGAAGAAGAAGAAGAAGAAGAAGAAGAAGAAAAAAGGCATGTTGGTTCACAGCAGTACTCTGCATTTGAGACGCTGAGGCAGGAGGATTGTTCCAAGTTTGAAACCAGCCTGGGCTACAAAATGGAGCTCGAGGCTAGGCCAAACTGCACAACAAGACACTGTCTCAAAGACTAGAGAGAGAGAGACAGACAGACAGACAGACAGACACAGAGAAGAGTGGGGAGAGGAACCAAGACAAAATGAGAAGAATCTGCTTTGGGGGTTCAAAGAGCAAAGGAAAGTTGAAGATTTTTCTCCTTTTGCAAATACAAGCATACATTCATCCTAAGTGATTCACCCTAAGTGATTTTGGCCATGGCCAATGGAATGCTAGACAGATGTTTCTGTTAAATCAAAGAAAGCAATATTTTGAAATTACCAAGGGACACTTTGTATGCTAAAAAGAATTCTAGTGCCCTCAATTTTTATGTCTTTACCTTCCAGATGATCTCTCAAGGGAAAACATGTCTGTGTCTATCTTCCCTGTATTCCTGCTATATTTACTTCATTCAAATAACTAGGCTTAAAATGAATAAAGTCAACTGTTTTTAATGTTTTCAGTTTTCAAATTATAAAATCATAAAACCATTAAATAGATATGTGGTTAAAAAGCTTGTATAAAGAAACATGGTATTGTCTTATGAAATTGTAAGTATATAATAATTCAATTATATTCTGGGTCAGTATGAATTTTAATAGTTGTCAAAGCACCATTTAGAGCATTTTGTTTTTTAAAATGTGAAGGTGAACTTTGAATGCCAAATACCTTTTTGAAAAGTTGAGAGAGAGCTGCCTGTAGAAATGTAATCATCAATTAGGGAAGTATTCATGGCATCTTCTGTCTTTCTTGGACCACTCTTTAACTATTTTCCTTTAAGTCTAGAGAAAAAAGAAAATCCTGTCTAACCTAACATGTTTCTAAAAGAGGATATCATTTCATTTGGAGCAGTACTTTTTAGTTATGCAGGACTGTGCTGCACAGGTTGGACATTCTGCATCCCTGGCCTCTACCCATCAAGGTGCCAGAGCTTCCCCCGAGTGTCATATCCTTCTGTTGGGAATAAGAACAGTGAATCTACCTCTAACTGAAAAACATGAAAGGACTTTACCTTGGTACTCCAAAGGACTTGAAATATAATTTTGCATGTATTAAATAAACATGGCAAGATTTTATGTGTTGCACTAAAATGTATGATGTTTGAAATCATTAATATGAATTTGTTGTTTAGATAAATGTATGAGTTGCCTGTTAGAAGTAGCTCTTTCTGGAAATGAAGAACAGAAGCCTTTTGATTATAAATTGTGGCCTGAAATTGCTGTCTATGTAGACTTGGCATTGGGTTGTTCTAAAGAGCTGGCCCGTAGCCTTTGGATCAGCATGCAAGATTACGCTGTAAGTAAAGGTAAGATAAAGAGAATGAAGGGAGTAAATATGTTGCTCATAATGCAAGTACATATGTGGCATCTATAAGCAGAAAATCACAGAAATCATAATACTGCTTTTTTATAGAGAAGGCGTTTTATGAACAACACTTTAAGACTGTTTTTCTCTTTGTAGAAAATACCCTAGGGTGTTTTTTCTTCTTTCTTTCTTTCTTTTTTTTCTTTTCTTTTTTTTTTTTTTTTTTTTGGTAAGCATGCAAACAGACAAACAGAAGGTTAAATGCCTTCCAACTTATTTCTGAATCATTTATTCATTTTATTGTATCAAATCGTATTAGAAGGGAAAAAGCAAATGATGGAGAAGAAAAACTTACTTTCTAAAATGTATTTTTATATATTCTAATTTTATATCATTTATTTGGAATGTGCAGTTACATCTTTATATCACATTATCATTTGTTACACTGCAATGAGAACTTTAAAAATTACAAAGAAATACAAGGTGGATAAAAGCAATTTCTGTATTATATACATAGCATGGAATTTATATATTGTGCAACACTTGATTAAAATGAATGTAACGTCAGTGATGGTGTTTTAAGAGAACTTACCACTTTAAAAATCACATGAAAGGCTTATCCCTCCTACATTTGAAACAGAGCAAAGGGTTTTATGGTACTTTGCACTTTTAAGAGTTATCCTCCTTCATAAGCGCCTGCCTCGCAAGTGTGCAGTCGTTGAGTTCAATCCTTGGTACCAGTAAAAAAAAAAAAAAAAAATTTAGCCTCCTTGAAAGGGTGTTTGATTGTCAGTCATGGCAGTTTTCAGAATAGTAAGTAGGCCATGGGACAGACGATTTTCTTACGTATCTGAGATGGGTAGGTCAATATAATCTGTCATTCTAAGAATCCTCTGTGGTTATAAGGTTTGTTTTGTTTTAAATCAGGACATTTGTATTGTCAATATTTTACCTTTAAAGGAGGTAAGTCTGAATTTAAATTTTTGATCTATACATATGGAAAATCAGGGTATAACTTTTTATCTCTTCAGAATAGATGTCTTTAGGAACAAATAAAATTAAATTGGTGCTTAATATTTGCAAAGATTTTTTTTTCAGTATTGGACTTTGAATCCAATTCTTTCGCACCAAGGTATATCCCTAGTTCCTTTTGGTTTTTATTTTGAGACAGAATCTTGCTAAGTTGCTAAGGCTGAGCTGGAACTTGAGATCCTCCTGCCTCAGCTTCCCAGAATGATAAACTATAGTTGTGAGCCATCATGCCTGTCTTGGTTTGTTTTTAAGTAGCACAGGCATTCAGTTAATCGATCATATGAAAAGAGTTTGACAATCTGGAGATACGGTAGACAGTAAATGTTCTACTACCATTTGGAATCTACTCTGTTTTGACAGTACCATACTGATGTGCACACATGGAATAAAAAATAGGAATAAAAAGCACCTGGCTAGTCCTCATTAAGTAATGCTGTCCTCTGGGTACTCGTTTGTGTCCACATGTGTCTGACTCACTTAATTGTTCTTGTATTCTACTTTCCTGGCTTAATCTATGAAATTCATGGTAGTGGATGTTTATAATCGCAGTACTCTAGAAGGGTGAGGCAAGAGGACTGAAAGTTTGATCCCAACCCCGGAAATTTAGCAAGACTCTATCTGAAAATAAAAACTGTAAAAAAAAAAAAAAAAAAAAAAAGCAGGGGGATGGCTGAGATTGTAGCTCAGTGTGAAAGCTGTGAGTTCCATCTTCATTACCAAAAAAAAAAAAAAAGAAAAGAAAAAACCAAAACATGCCTAACGGTATCATATCAGAGATACTCGATTCTTTTGATATATGTCTGTTTTTCCTTCTTTTTATTAGTACATGTTTGTAAAATGTATGAACATATTCATCATGGGGATTTGGTACATATATATATATGTGTGTGTGTGTGTGTGTGTGTGTGTGTGTTTTCTTCCCTTCCTATCCCTCTTTCCTGTTGTCTTTTATTTTGTTCTTTAAATTTTTTGTACTTTGAATTACTCATATCACAGAAAATATTGTGTGTTTACCCTTCCTTAGACATGTGATTCTATCTTCTTTTCCCCAGAACTGTTTTTTTATGGTGCTTTTTAGGCCAACTACATTTTAAATATATTTAGATTCAACTTTGATTTCTCTCTTACTCTCACATTTCATATCTGACCTGTCAACAAAACCTGTCCTCACCTTCAAAATTCATATGAGATTCAGAGACTCTGACCACTTTTCATAGGACCACTGTCTTCTAATCTGAGCCACCATTGTCAGTCACTTGAGTTACTACAATGTTAACTGCTGCTGTTGTCCTTGTAGACGGTTCTCTGCTCTAGAGTCAGAGCTTTTTTTAAAAAAAAAATTATTTAGTTTTTTCTTTGCTCTGAACTACATTCCCCACCCTTTTTATTTATTTTCTTGGAGATAGAATTTCACTAACTCTCTAAGTTGCCCAGGCCGAGGTTGATTTTGTGACACTTTTGCTTTAACTTCTCAGTATTAGGATTACAGGCATCCACCACCACAGCTGGCTTATTTATTTAATTTTTTGAGACAAGGTCTTACAATGTAGTACAGATTGGCCTTGAACTCACTGTGTAGCCCAGGCTAGCCTCTAATCTTAAATCCTACTGCCTTGGCATCCTGAGTGCCTTGATTACAGGAATGTGCCACCACACTCAGCTAATCAGAGAGCTTTTCACAACATAAGTCAGATTATATCTCTGTTTAAAGCCTTATAATACTGCTTCTCCTTTTCTTGTAAGTAAAACCTGGAGGACTTGCACTGGCCTGCAAGTTGAGCGTCATCTGGTCTCCAGCCAGCTCTCTAGTATCTTCTCTTACTGCCTATGCATGCACACTTGGCTCCAAGCCACCCATGTTGACCTCCTTGAACCTTCTAATTGGGTCCTTTACACTAGCTGTCTTGAGGAATACAGTTTTCATGTGGTTTCTTTTATGTGACTTAAACTTCTGCTCAAATGCAGTCTTATCAAGAACTTTCTCAGATCACTCTATAGAAAACAGTAATCACGTACAGTCACATACGGTAAACTATTCACTGTTCTTTTTTTCTTTTTTTTTTTTTTTTTTTTGTACTGGAGATTGAAATCACGACCTCGTGCTTCCAAGGCAAGCACTTATGCCACTGAGCTAAATACTCGGCCCTATTCCCTGTTCTTTTACACTGGTTCATTTTTTACCACAGCACATACCTATCATATCAGTGTTTTTATTTACTTTATCACTCATGCCACGTCTTTTCAATCCTCACTAAGAATATAAATTCTATTAAATTGGAAATTTAGTTTTGTTTTCTGCTATATCCCCAGTACCTAGACTAGTGTGTAAGTTTGTTAAGTACTGTAACTGTTTAGAAAGATCATGAAATTCAGATGTTGGATGACTAAAGCTATTAAAATACCTCTGAACTGTTTTCTAAGTCATTTTGAATGTCAATGCACCATTTGTATTTTCAGATTGGGACAGTGCTTTAAGTAATGAGTCACTCTTGGACACTGTGTCTAGATTTGTTCTTGCAGCACTTCTGAAACACACAAATCTGCTTAGTCAAGTATGTGGAGAAAGCCAGCAAGTACCTTAAATCTAGTCTTAGACAAATATTTGCTCTCAGGATATGATGTAAGAAACTAGGTAACCTTTCTATTTTGGTTCTTTATTTAGATACCAACCTGGTAAAAGCTTATCAGAAATGTACCGTTGTGTATACAAAGTTTGAAGTCATTTACTTGCTTGCAAGAATCTTGAACTTATTCAAACCAGATCATCATCATGAGACAGATGGGTAAATTTGGAAATCAACTTAATTTCTATGTTTTTCTGCCAGCTGTGAGAGCTCTATATTGGTTTATGTAAGAAAAAAAGGGCTTTGAGTTTTGTTTTCTCTCTCTTTTTTTCTTTCTTTTTTTTTCTCTTTTTTCTCTTTCTTTTTTTCTCTTTCTTTTTTTCTCTTTCTTTTTTTTCTCTTTCTTTTTTTTCTCTTTTTTTTTTCTCTTTTTCTTTCTTTCTTTTTTTTTTTTGGCACTGGGGATCAAATTCACAACCTTGTGCTTGCTAGGCAGGCACTTATGCCACTGAGCTAAATCCCTGGCACCTTGAGTTTTCTAATGAAAAGGATGAAAAAGTCAAAGATTTTGAGTTTAATTTCACTTATATCTGTTAAGAAAGTTTATGGAGTTTTAGACTTCATAGCAGAAATAGAAAAATGGTATCAGTTATAGGAAATACTGTTTTTATGCTGGTCAGGTTACATTTGAATTATTGTGCTTATCTTGTGGTGTCAGAAATTATGAAGGACATTAACAAATCCTCAGATTGGAAAAAAGTCCAAAAATAATCTTATAATCTTACTGGAAAATATCAGGAATGTTCAGATCAGAGAAGTGAAAATGAAAGAGGGAAGTTGCACATTGAAAATAGTCCTCATTATTAGAATGTTACATCAGTGAAAGAAAAGATTGAAATCATTTACTCAGGTAGTCCACAAGTAATTCTTGCAACAAAAGTAAAGGTATTTCTAAATGCTTGGTATTCCTGGTAACATGATCCGGTAATTGTAAAAACAAGCCTGGGTACATGATTTTCAGAAGTCCTTACTTTGAAACTTGACGTATCAGATGCTTTGTACTTCATTATGTAGTTCTTAAACCATGGCTATACATTTGTGTTAGAACAGATTTTTTGGCATGTACTGAGTTAACATTTTTGTGGATCTAACTTTGTGTGACCTTTTATTGAGGTTCATATTTGAAATTCCCATATTATGGGGGTAAATGACTTACATATTACTGTGTGAGTCTTAACTGCTGAGAATCCCCATCTTTGTAAAATTCCTAAGTCATTTACTGGTTAGGGATCTGAAGATGCAAAATTTTGATTTGTGTTTTGTACTGAAATTTGTGAGAGAAATTGTATATCTTTGTGGCATTTTTGATTCTCTTAGTGTGTACCTGTGGAAAGATTCTGTGTGACTCCTAGATAGCCTGACTATTATGAAAAACAAAGCTAATGAAGTTAAAGAAAAAACTACTTTAAATTTAGAATAGACCATGCACTGAGTAAAAGTACAATTGACAGAAACAATGGAATTAAAATTAATGTTCTTTAATTGCCTTTTTTGGTTGTGTTGTATTGACCATAACTTAGTTTAAGTTGCTGCTCTGTAGTTTGCAGCTTAATAACAACATAAATATGAATCAATTTATAATATGCTATTTTAGTCAAAATACCAGAGAGACCTGCATGTATCCATGTATACATTTTGTGTGCATGCTTTATAATCTTTTAAAATTGATCGATTATATCTTTTGTGTTTTTGTTTTAAAATCCGTGTGTTATTGATACCAGCAACATTTTTATGATAAAGAAGAGTTCTAGGAAATTATAAAAAGTTATTGAAAAATGTATTCATTGTAGTTTCTCAGAAAACCAAGATTCTGCAGATGTTGATCCTCAGGAGCATTCATTTACCCGGACCATTGATGAAGAAGCTGAAATGGAAGAACAGGCAGAGAGAGATCGGGAAGAGGGCCATCCAGAACCAGAGGATGAGGAGGAAAAATGGGAACATGAAGTGATGACAGCCAGCAGTGAGTACATCCTTCTCCTTTTAGAGATAATTGTCATGACATTCTTCTTCATAGAAAAGCTGACTTGAGAGAGAAAGGCAGGATTTCTCTATAGCTTTTCTAAGATGATCTGATCTCTACTGGCGATCTGAGTTTACATTAGCTAACCTTGTAAAAGAGTACTCACAGTTGAGCTAGTGTCACTCTTGTGCTGTTGGGTTACTTGTCCAGGCCTGAAAAGCTCTGAAAGTAGACACAGAAGTATTAGAGGCTCATGGTGAAATGGGTGGGTCATTGAATGAGGTCATGCAAAATGCATCTTTTCCATGTGTGGAACTTTTACAGTTATTTTCTACTACGTTGCTATTGTAGTAGGGAGAAGGAATGTATATGAGAATACATTCTGTAGATGAATACACTTCATACTTTTATATTCGAAAACTACAGATAGTTTTTAAAGGTAATCACTTAACATGTTGAAAGAGAAAGGGCAAAGCTTTTCAAACATTTATTAATACCTTTTGAACAATTTCACTGTTCCAAAGTAGAGTGTGTATTCAATCTGTAGCCTAAAACATTATGCATTTGGTGTCCAGATCATCTGTATCTGTCAATCACCTTGACAATTACTTTATTATCAATTTATTTGCATCCTGTATACTTCTAAACATAATTTTAAGATATCCAAATAAGCCTGAACTCTTCTTAAGCAAGAAGAAAAAGATAAGATTCAAAAGGAGAAAACTAGTTTGGAGATGAGGAGGGAGAATAATTGTATTGGGGAGGCTGTTGAATTGAACTCAGGACCTCATGCTTGTGAGGCATGCCCTGTGCCACTGAGCTAAATCTCCAGTCCCAGTAATTGTATTTTTTAAAAACAAGGCTGAGAAAATTTTTGCAACCAAACTTAAACTTAGCTCAGAAGCTCCTAGATTTTTTAAAGATTTTAAAAGCCAAAGAAGAAAACACAGTAAGTAAAACTGTCAATTATACTTTTAAAAAAGCATAATAGACACCCAAGGAATAATATATTTTAAACTATGATTTTAAAGCATTCATTGTAGGCACTGGGTAAAGTGCTACATACAGAATAAGTCATAATTCTTACAACAGCCTTACAAATTTCTAATATCACTCCATTCTAAAGATAGGTAAACTGATGCCTAAGGAATCAAAATTGTTACCTACCACAGTACCACAGTAGCAGAATTAGAACCAAGTCTGCTAAAAACTCCAGTGACCATTTTCTTCTTTCACTGATTTTTACCTCTGAATTTGTTTTTAAAGAAAAAATATTCAAAACAGGATATTAAGAGGGTAACATGGTTAATATATACATGTTGCTATCTTTAAATTAGTTATTTGGAGTGTTGCTTCTGTATTTTGACAGAATTTTTAGCTTTGATTTTTATAGAAGTAAGGGACTTTTAAAGGTATACCTATAAAACTTATAGTTTTATAAATGCATGAGTTTTTTTGTTTGTTTTTTTTTGTTTGTTTGTTTTTATAGGTACCAGGGATCGAACTCAAGACTGCTTGCTTGCAAGGCTTATGCTGCGGAGCTAAATCCCCAGCCCCAAATGCATGAGTTTTTAAAGTTCGTGCTTTGGTACTAGCAGGAGAATGTAGTTTTCTGCTGATTTTGCTATTAAGAATACTATCTCCATTCCAAATTTGAGTAAAAAAAAAATTTCTTTAGCTATTTTTTTTTTTTTTTTTGGTCTTTTTCCTTTTTATCGGTACCAGGGATTGAACTCATGACTACCTACTTGCAAGGCAGGCGCCTATGCCACTGAGCTAAATCCCCAGACCCTTCTTTAGCTATTTTGAAATACATGCCACTTCACCAGAACCTTGTTATCTCTCTAATGTAAAATACTAGAATTGTGAAATACTAGTGAAAATACTAGAAATTTCAGAACTAGAAAAAATACTTGTGAATTAGGGAAAGGCTAGCATCTGATAGACCTTCCTGGTGATACCATAGAATTCTGGAGGCAATCTTGCCCATAGTTGATAACTGGATTTGGTTTCAACAAAAGTCTTGGCCTTTGCACTTATTTGTTGTCTTTAAGATAGATCAAGGTGTCTACGTTAGCAATTACATGGACTTTAGAAAGAGAAAGGGAGCTTTCCATTATATGAATTTTCTTTCTTTCCTTTGTAACGTAACAGTTTTTATACCAAGATCTTGAATATTTCAGAAAGTTCTTTTTATCTTGTGCTTTGTAGGCTTTAGTTGACTTTAAAATAATCTGGAAGGCTTGTAAAAACACAGATTTCTTTGCTCTGCTCCTGTATCTTCTGATTCAGAAAATATGGGATGGGCCTGATAATCTGCATTCCTGCAAGTATCCAGATGAGTTGCTGCTGCTGCTGATTTGGGAGCATATGCTGAAGACCATTGCTCTAACTCATTAATAAGATTTGAAATTGTACGGAAAGAGGCAGAGTCCCTTTACCACTCCTTAGTTCTTATGTGGGCTCTTTGGTTAGATCTAGGAATCAGATTACTGTAAAGGCTGATTCAATGGGGAAAAGCAAGTAAGTTTTATTAATTTTATATATACATGGGAATCTTCACAAGAGAATGAAGTCCAATCAAATGACCAAAATAGGATGCTTGTATACTCTTTAGACAAAAAACAGATTTGTGAAGGATGACAGGACAAATGGATGTCTTGACCACCAGCGGAATAGAGATAGTACTAAGAAGTATGTTAGGGTTGGAGTCGAATGTCACAGCTAATGGAAGGTAAATTTTGCTTCACAGAATTTCCTTATTCAGAGTCATTGCAGTTCCAGTTCCAGTCCCTGGTTATCAAAGCTGTTTTTTGACCTTGGTGTATAAAAGACATTCTTACCAGAGGATTCTGTGTGTAAGAAAAGACAGGCCAGATGTCCTCTACTGAAGTTACAGTTGCCCAAGTGATTTTAGCTTGAAATAGTCAATATACCAATTTGGCATATTTTAAGATGGTATGTCCTTAACTTCTACAGAATAGAATTAGCCAAATCTAAATCCTGTAAAGATGTGAATATTGCCTGTTGTAATTTTATGAAATGTAAGAGTTTAATAAATTTTAATGACTTAAATTTACTATGCTTATAATGTATTAAAAATAATTTTCCCTCTTTCAGTAATGTTTTGACTATTTTTACTATTTTTTTTTTTTTGCTTTTCTCTCCCCATGTGTTAAGACCTTGTTTTTGTGTTGCATGTTACAGAAATCTTTCAGTATTTCCTCTCAGCCAGTGAAGTAGCTCGTAGCCGAGACCGAGATAGAATGAACAGTGGGGCAGGGTCTGGGGCTCGAGTTGATGATCCACCTCCTCAGTCTCAGCAAGAGCGAAGGGTGAGCACAGACCTACCCGAGGGTCAGGACGTGTACACCGCTGCCCACAACTCTGTGATCCACCGCTGTGCCCTGTTAATACTAGGAGTAAGTCCTGTGATTGATGAGCTTCAGAAGCGGAGGGAAGAAGGACAGCTGCAGCAGCCTTCTGCGAGTACCTCTGAAGGGGGTGCACTGATGACCAGGTGGGACTGACTATAAGCTTAAAGCCTTAGCTGTGTTTTTTTCCTCTATATTTCAAAGTGGTTTATTCTCAAAGTTACATTGTTATTCTGAAGTCAACAGAGATAGGAAGAGAAAATACACAGGGAGTAGAATGGATTTGCAGTAACCAATAGTAGTACTGCTTCAGTGTAGAGCATACATTTCTGATTGGCCTACATTGGCATACATTTCTGAGAAGGCACCATTTTTCTTGCACATGAACAGTGTGAGTTGAAAGCATATGTAGTTATTTGCATCTCTAATTCAGTGACATGTAAATTCTTTTGATTTGATTAAAAGGCTTTTGCTTAGATAAGAATAAGGATTTTCTTTTAACAGATGTAATTATTTCTCGCTGTATGTGTACATTATCTTTGTGGTACTAGTTCCATTCAATTTTATGTTCACTAACAGTCCAAAACCAAAAACAATCTTTTTTGTGTGCATGTGAGACAGGAGTGAAAGCCTTACTGCAGAGAGCCGACTAATCCATGCAAGTCCAAATTATAGACTGATCAAATCAAGCAGTGAATCTGATTTGTCTCAGCCTGAATCAGATGAGGAGGGTTACACACTTGTAAGTAAACCTAGGTTTACTAAAGAAGTCTTTTTTTTTCAAGGTATGGATATCTAAGGCTTTGGTTACAGTAATTTATGTCCCTCTTGTCTCAAAGGATTTGTACTTTATGGGGCTGGAGATTTAGCTCTGCGGCATAAGCGCCTGCCTTGCAAGCAGGCAGTCGTGAGTTCGATCCCTGGTACCGATAAAAAGGAAAAAGACAAAAAAAAACTTTATGAAAATAAAGTATATAAATTAAATGAGTGAATTAGGGCTAAACAAAAGTGAGGGAGGAAAACAAAGCCCTGGGTAAGATTTGCACATCTCATATAGATGCCATGGTGTTCTGCTGGAAGCGGGAACACCAGACAGGACAAGTATAATGTTGTGTGTCGCATGGCATCTGAAAGAATAGCACTTTTTAAAATTCGTTTGTTTTGTTTTTCTTTTTCTGAAACAGGGTTTCACTATGTAGTTTACGCTGACCTAGCCTCACTATGTAGCCCAGGCTGATCTCCAACTCATGGCAGTCCTCTGGCTCAGCCTCCTGAGTGCTGGGATTAACACCATGCCTGACATAACCCAGTTGTTTAAGGGAAATGAATATTTTTAGCTGTGAGTCCTAAGACTAACTTGTTATATGAGAAAAAGTACTATATTGATAAAAAAAATTTTAAAGTACTAGGGATTGAATCCAAGACCTTGCCTATGCTAGGCAAGCACTCTTACCAGTGAGCTATATCCCCAGCCAAAAAAAATTTTTTTAGTGACGCAGTGATCTCTTCAGGAGCTATTAATTGAGCTGTTTGATGTATTGTGCATAAAACAAGAACATACTTATTTCTGTTAATGTATGTGTGAGCAGAGGGTATCAAAACAAAATGTCTTCATGTGGATATGTGTCTATATATGTGAAGGTTTTCTTCAGTGATATTTCCCAAATGTATTTTGTCTTTTCTGTAGTCTTACCACTTTGACACCAGCTTTTCTATTGTACAAGAGTATAATTAAAATTGCTAAGACCATACTGTCAAATTTATAAACTTAAATCATATTGTTTATTGATTGACTACACATAGGAGTAGAATGAACAGTTTTTTACACCCTATACTACGAGATATATAGAGAAATATACTTGTATTCCTGAAAAACTCACTGTTTTATTAATTGGTATGTATGTATTTCACGAATTTGAAATTTCTCTATTTTAATAAGTTTTTAAAAACTTGTTATAATATTTAGAGAGTATTAATATAAGATCATACTGTAAGTAGAAGAGGAAAGACAAAGTTTCCAAAGAAAGAAAGGTAATAAGAGAAAAAAACATTTGATGCTGTACTATGTTAATTGATGTGCACGTTTATTTATTTATTTATTTTTTGCTTGAGTTAGTATCTCAGGAATTATGTGCTTATGCTCTGGTGAGTATTTAGAGATATTTTGTTGCTAGTTTGACTTGATTGGTGAATGAGTGAATTGCTTTAATTATATGAGTTATTTCTTATTCTAGTATTAAGTCTTAATCTTAAAGTACTTTCCATGACAAAACTTTATTTACTTTATACTTTTAATAGAGTGGCAGAAGAAATGTTGATTTGGATTTGGCATCATCTCATAGAAAGAGAAGTAAGTACTAAGAAAATATTAAATAGCTAGTCAAATTAGATAGCTGTTTTTAATCTCATATTGAGATGAGGGTTACCAAAATAGTTTAGAAGCATTTTATCAGAAGTGTTAAAAGCAATAGCATTTTCTTTAAAAAAAAAAGTGTGTGTATAAAAAGTATATATAAATAAATAATCTGGAAATGTATAGTAGTTAATAATCATTGTTGCTTGTTTTTCAAGTTTTTTTTTGTAAAAGTGCATTTTTACAAACTTCTGGAATTTCAGAAATGTTGTATTCTCTGGAATTATCTGAAATTATCAGGGTGGTATATATGTGATTTTCTATGTTTTTATTTACTGATGAAGTTGCTATGTTTTAGAGAGTATCACAGGAAAGATGTCAATCATTCACCTTTAATACACATATTTTTAATGTTTCTAGGATTTTTTCTTTTTGATCTCTTAATATATAGCATATAATAGATGAATTGATTTAAAAAAAATTCTTCCATGAGAAAAAATTTTGTAGTATTATCAAGAGTCTTTGGTTAGAAGTTCTGTCTTAATAAATGATGTAGTTAATTTACACATGCAAATAGAAAATAATAGGTGACATAAATCCATAGAAAAATAAAAACTTGCAAATATTTTCTATTAACTAGTACTTTTATTTAAAACTGTTTATAAAGTGGTTGTAAAAATATGAAATGTTAAAAATTTCCAGTGGTGGCCGTTTTCCAAAGGGTTGTGAAAGAAAGATTTTCCATGATATTAAATCTTTTATACTCAAAGAAAGACTCCTTTTTCCTGGCTTCATTGCGAAAATGTTGGCTTTCTCTCCCTGGGGGAAAAATGAGAGTATGACATATCTAAACTTGGTTTTCTTAAAAAACTAATGAGGTATTTGTAATCAAAGGAATCAAATGATGTCAATGTAATGTACAGTATGATGATATTTTAGAATTCTTTACAAATCGACAGTTTACTTGATTTAGAAATTATGTTAAATTTTGAAACATTCATTTTCCTAATTTTGTTCAGCTGAAGTGAATACTGTATGACAAGTTTCATGGTAGTTAGTAAATGCTTCCCTCTTAGTGCCTGAGAGCGAGTGGCTGCAGCTTCACTGAAGAGCGTGAGAATACAGCCTGTAGTCAAGAGCTTCCTACCACATACACATATTAAACAGATGCTTTGGCCAGAACTATTCTTTTCTTCCAAATCTTCATAATGCTTATGAAAATATAAATTTGAGATTTAGTCTCTGCTAACGATATCTGCATGTGGCAATAAAGCAAAGTGACATTATCTTTGAATTAGTAGTCACCTGTAATTTAAATATGTGTTACTCAAGAGGAGTAGGTATGATGTTTTAAAATTACTGTCCTAAATTGGAGATAGTTGTGTGATTCTTTGGCCTCAGTTACTTGGGAGGCTGAGGTGAGAGGATCACTTCAAGCCCATGAGTTTGAGACCAAAAACCATCCTGGAGTTGCTTCCTACTTATGTTTATGTGTTTGAGGGGTGTGTGTGTGTGTGTGTGTGTGTGTGTGTGTGTGTTGTCTTTTTGAGACAGGGTTTCACTTTGTGGTTCAGGCTGGCCTTGAACTCGCTGTATAGTCCAGGCTAGCCCTGAACTCACAGCAGTCCTCCTGCCTCAGCCTCCCAAATGCTGGAATTACAGGCATATATTACCACATCTGGCCCTATGTATGCTTTTAAATAATTATTTTAAAATTAAAATTAAATTTACTCAATTTTAGCTCTATATAGATAAAAATATGTTAAGCCATTGATCTGAATTTTGTTTGTGAGCAACCCATCCTCAAAAACTTTAAAGTAGTGCTAGCATTTATTAACTTATTGAACCTATTTTGTTGAAAGTAGAATATCAAATAGAGGATCTCATAGGAAAATGTTTTTGTCTTTATTCATTTAGAAATTACACTGGGGAGGCAAACTGCTTATAAAAGTTTTTGTCGTATCACCTAAAGTGGTATTATAATAATCATCACATTTTAATATTCTCTGGGAAAATTATTGATGATGATTTTATTTCTAAAATCAGGTGACTAGAAAGTAGAAGAGTTATTATTTTAGGAAGATTAGCAAAAATAGATACTTTTCAATCTTATAGAATCCTAGTGCTTATAGATTAAACAATGAATATAGTCATTTTACATCTTTTACCTTATAATGGATGTTTTTAAGAAAACCAGCACTGAAAATATATTTAGAAGGTTATATTTTGAAAGGCATTTCTTATAATCTTGCATATTTTTACCATGGGAAGTTTTACTTTTTTTTGCTTTTAAATAATGGTAAGATAAAAATAAAAAATAAGATAATAGTAAAATAAACCACCCTATTTTCCACTTTCTTATTGTTAGTATGGATCAGATGCCATAAAACATAGTATGCCTGTCTTCAGTTGGCTAGATGAGTGTACCAAGTGTGAGCTCTGTTTAGGGCCAAACTGTTGGGGGGTTTGATTCTCACTTAAGCCATGAAGGACCAACAGGTATCTGGTCAAGTTAGAATGTGTCTATGTGCTTGTTATTTTCTTCCAATATTTTGAGGAGAAAATGTCAGAATTGTTTATGCACATAACTTTGTAATTATTTTTTTTCATTTCTTTTTTTTTTTATTTAAGAGGAAAAAGAGAAAAACACAAAACAAAACAAAGCAGTGTAAGGGTACATGTAATACAGAACTACAAAAAAAAACCATAACAGTAAGAAATCACCTGTTAGTAGATTACATATTATCATCTTGAAAATAGTTGCTCAAATCACAGTATCAAAGAATACAAGGTGGACATTCAAACAAGGAGACTGCAAACAGCTGTGTTCAATGATCCAAAAACATTGATATAGTCAGCTATTTAACTTTGTAATTATTAATCTTGGAGGTCGTTTTGTAGAAAAAGCCTGATAAGAGGCTTAAGAGAAAGGTTACCAAATTTAACTGAATTTGAGAGTATAATGATAACTAATGGTGAAATACATATTTTCAGCTGCTCTTATCATGCCTCCAAAGAGCCCTTCTTGAAAGGATTTATTGCCTATAATTATAGTACTGGGAATACTAAGATTCATGCTATTGAACAGTAGTTGCTCATTTTCTTCTCTCATTGAGCTAATGTTTTATGTTTGTTCTAAGCTCTTGGTCTATGAAAGCAAATATTGTAGGAAGGGGTACAGCAGTGTCAGCACATACATTTAGCTTGACCACCTTGCTCAGAGGAAAGATTGCTGAATTTTAGGTCAGGATCCTGTAGTCCCAGCTACTCAGGAAACTGAATCAGGAAAATCACTTGAGGTCGATATGGGCAATAGAGCAAGATGTTGTGTTGCAGGAGAAAGTGACATATTTTCTCCTCTTACCATTTCAGAGACAATATAAGATTTATGCATGTTAAAGACTTTTAAGCTGCTTTCCGTATGCCACACATAATTGTAAGCACTTTACAAATATGAATTCATTTAATTATCATAAGAGTCTATTATAAGGCTGGGGATACAGCTCAGTGGTACAGCACTTGCCTGGCAAGCACGAGGTCCTAAGTTCGATTCACAGTACCAAAATATAAATAAGTAAACAAAAAACTTAGCAGAATTATCAACAAAACTTGGTACCATATTTTGCTATTTTGGTACTTTTCAAATTGCAGATACTGGGGCTGGAGATTTAGCTCAGAGGCCTAAGTGCCTGCCTTGCAAGCATGAGGTCATGAGTTCGATCCCCGGTACTGATAAAAAGGAAAAGACCAAAAAAAACCAAAAAAAAAAAAACAAACAAACAAAAAAAAAAAAACACACACAAAAAAAAAACCCAAAAAACCTCAAATTGCAGATACTAAAAAAGATTTGCTATAGTTGTATAGAACTGACTTGTTTTTTCAAAGAAAGACTGTACCTTTTTGCAGGTACTTGATTTTAGTTTTCTTATTTATTTTTTATCTTTAATGCAGAGTCTTGCTATGCGGTTCAGGCTGGTCTTAAACTTACTGTAGCTCAGAGTGGCCTTGAACTCCTGCAATCCTCCTTCCTCAGCCTTCCAGTACTGGTTTACAAGTGTGCACCCCCAGGCCTGGCTTAGTTGTCATATTTAAATGGAAGCTGTTACAGTGAAAAGTGGTGGGATATCAAAGCAATAAGTAGTATCTGAAAGAGTTGCTGGCCCAGACCGGACCCTTTAACCAGGAAAAGCTGCAGCCAAGTTAGAAAACTCCTGCCTCCCCCGCCCCCTATAGACTTGACTGTAACCCTATACCCCCATCCCTAAGAACCTGTGCGCCAATGAAATACCTGTGCATCTCTAATGGCCTTAGGGCACTGCCCTAAGCTTAGGCTATTTATATTGCCCATGCCACGTGTCCGAGAGAGATCGCCAGATTCCAACGGCCAGTGCGCCAGTCTCCTCTCCCTGGAATAACTACGGCCCGGGTGCAGTGGAAGATGCTGCGCTCCGGGCCGGCGGGGGGAGGGTCTCTCCCTGTGTTCCCGAAATAAAGCCACCGCTGCCCACTACTTTCACGGCCGTCCACTCCACTCCACTCCTTTCACTGGACCTCGACCTCTTCCTCTCTCTCCTCATCCTCTCCCTTCTTCTCAGACCTAACAGTATCAAGAATCTTTCTAGTTAAATCTTACTACTTAAAATATGGTTTGACGCCCTCTGCCCCACACCAGTTGTTAAATATGGTATTAGGATTTTGTTGCTAAAATAATGCTAGAAATACTTTTAAGCGTTTGTTTCATGATATAACATGTATGGGTAAAACACTTTTATCTGTTCATTTCAAATTATATAAAGAAGGGCAAATGTAAATGTCTTCTGTATCAAATGTCTTCTTTTGTCTTCTGGTTTTGTGTGGTAGTGTATTTACTTCTTTTTGGCCAGTTGAGCCCCAGAAAAAAGAAGAGCTTCAAGCAAGTACATGATGGCATGTTTAATTTTTCCCCCTTTAGTTTGCCTACATATTTTATGATTTATAAAGTATGTATTGCAGCTCTGCCATGTTCATTTTGAAAATTCCATTTAAGAACCAAAGTTGTAAGGACAAGTAAACAATCTCAAAAATTTTTTGTTGGACTTTATATTTTCTTCATGAGTTAGGTGACTGAATTAATATTAAATAAGAATTGGGCTTAATCTCAGTTACTATGTAGAAGCTTTTGATATGCTTTTCAGATACATTAACAATAAAGCAAACCAAAGCTACTAGCTTGTTAGAATTTCTTTAAAGATTGAAACTCTTTCTCCCATTCTCATACTTTCAAGTACTATATTTCAAAGTATTTTTGATGTCAGGCTAATTATTTTGCTGAAAATTATTTTATTTATCCTAATGCTTTCTTATGGTGTGCTTCCTGTTCCTTCTTACAGTTTATTCATGCAAAGTTTTGCTTCAGTCATGCACCTCATGAATTTCATGCTTTAAATTATAGCCAGTAGGCCACCCTAGCTTCATACCTGTTTTGGTAAATGAGGAATACAGCCATAGTGATTTGTTTATGCATAAATGTGACTTATTTTACAATAACAGAATTGAATAGTGGTGACAGAGATCTTATGAGCCACAAAGCCTAAAATATTTACTGTGGATTTACAGAAAAAGTTTGCTGCCTCACTTAAAATTGTAGAGAGGATTTAGGTAGGGCAGAATCTAGCTGTTTTATAGAATGCTTTGCTGTATACAAATTTAGTTCACTGCTGGTTGAGTAGTTGAAATATCCACAGATCAATGATTTGTGAGTTGATTAATAACAGGAATTAATAAACACCTACTGGTAAAGCTATTGGTATTATATTTATGATACCATAATAAAAACACCTACTGGTAAAGCTATTGGTATTATATTTATGATACCATTTCATAATTTTATGAACATAGTATTAATTTGGCAGCTCAGTTTCTACAAGCTCTGTTTCCTCACATGAGGAAATTGGACTAGGCAACCTTTAAGCTCCTCCCTGGTTCTATTAGTTCGCTGCATATTTTTTAGCTTGGAAATGTAGCTTATATGCAATGGAAAATAAGAACATCTTCTGAAATTTTGATATTGAATAAAACAAGCTCAACACACACACTGTCATTGTAAATTAAGACCAAATACAGCTTCTGAATTTGAGATGCTTTAGGAAATGAAAAATTAATATTTCTCAAAAAAATGAATATTTCTCGATCGTTAGCCTCAGCTTTATTTTTTAAAATATTTTTAATTTAATACATTGTACATCTGTGAGATTATTACTTGGATTTTGTTTTCTGTTGTTATGAAAAACTTCTGCTCTATGTACAGTTTGAGAAGATTTTTCAGATGGGTTGTTATTTTTCATTTCAGTAAAATTAAAAACATTTTAAATCTTAATAATTTTTGCTAAAATATGGAAGGCAGTTAAACCATATATTCTTTGCCAATCCAAATTATTTTGTTAATGTGAAGTAATACCAAGATAGTACTAATATAGTACATAATGGTAATAATAGTTCCCTGATAGGAATTTTTGTGGCTGATTTTGAATTCCAAAGATTTAACTGACACCAGTAGAGTAATTGAGTTTATACATTCTGTATTGTGTTCATGTATTTCCTCAGTGTTGACTTATTTTTTTCAAACTTCTCCATTAGTAATATTACAAAAAATGATTTTTGTTATAAATGTTTTGTTGAGTGCCTTAAAATGCATTTCTAATAGGGAAATTTAGTACATTCATGTGATATCATATTATATAGCAGTCAAACAAATGAACCATCACAATCATTTGGATGAGTGTTAGAAATATATTGAATGAAAAAATAATGTCCAAACAGATGATACATATTAGAACTCCTTTTTTTAGAAAGCTAAAAACAACTAAAACATTACTCATCTTAGGTTTACATGTAAAACAATATTCATCAACAATAAAAAGAGCAGAATAATAAACTTTAGGCTTCAGGATAATAAAACCTTAGGAGGAGATGGGTTAAAGGAGAAACATAGCTACAAGTTATTGTCATTTTTTTTACATGTTACATTCACAAGTATTATAAATAATGTATGAATACAAAAATGGGCCATACATGGAGCACTCATGAGAATGTATTATAACCAAGGATTATAATTAAATTCATATACACCAGGTCAATTAAATTGAAATCAAAGTTGTACAAAAATTGGACCATGTACATTTTATATATTTATTTAAAACATCCTAGCATATGAGTTGAACAGTTGTTCTTACGCTCAAACGTGATAATATTTTAATGTTTAATGCAATGGTTTTAGCTTTAAAAACACCTACTGGTAAAGCTATTGGTATTATATTTATGATACCATTTCATAATTTTATGAACAGTAAATCTCACATGTTGTTTGTGCAACAGCTTTCTTTATATAGGAGTTTCACAAGCTATAGTATGTATAAACATGACAATGAGTATTCTTATATTAATGAAACCCAAAGAGTGATGGTTATGTTTCCTTTTCTGTATAAGTTTACTTGCCCTTCTGTATGCCCTTTTTGGAAATATTTCATTGCAGATATATAGACATTGTATGCAGTTCTAACTTAACATTTTGCAGTGATTATTTTAAATTAGATGAAATCCTGTTTCAAGTAGGTCTTACTGGTAATGATGTGAGTGGCTAGTTCCTTTTGTTCATACACAATGATCTGGTTTAATACTGCAGAGCCTTTTATGTTAAACATTTTGATAGTAGCTTTTGCCTTTTTCTCATTGCAGCGTGTTGCTAAAGTGCTTACAGAGACAATAGTATATGAACAGGGCTTTCCCTTTGTTTTCTTACATTGCTCTAGTTTTTTTATTTCTTTTTTCTTAATCAAAGCATTTTTGCTGAGAGTCATTTAATGCATGCATGCATTCAAACATGAGTATCCATTTCTCACCAGTTGGTATGATAGCAGTGCTCAGCCCTTGTCTAATTTCAGAATGTATGCTCTACACAATTGCTATTGACACGTTTGTTCTGTTTGTGTATAGGTCCAATGCATAGTCAATTGGAATCCCTGAGTGACTCCTGGGTCCGCCTGAAACACAGCAGAGACTGGTTATACAACTCCTCTTACTCCTTTGAGTCTGATTTTGATCTCACAAACTCTTTGGGAGTTCACACTTTGATTGAAAATGTTGTAAGCTTTGTGAGTGGAGACGTGGGGAATACTCCAGACTTTAAAGAGCCAGAGGACAGCATGTCTACAAGTCCTCAGGCTTCCATCATAACAGCAACAGTTAAGGGCAGAAGTAAGTCTTTGATATTTATTCCTCGTGAGAGACTCTGAAACTCCACCAAATGTACATTGCTTGGAAAAGCTTTTCTTTTTCTTCCGTTCTTTGTCTCTTTCTTTCATCAGGATTTTGACATTGTTTCTTACCTAAAATAGGGTGGTATTTTGTTTGAGCTGGACAAAAGTATGTCTGAAAATTGTCATTTATTTGAATAAGATACTCTAATTATAAAACTTCCCTTGTCTCCTGGAAACTAGAATCAATTGGTTGTTGATCATAGGAAAGCCTCCATCTTTGACCCATTTGTCCCAAGTTAAACTAGACTTCTAAATCAGGTTAGATTAATAGTCACTGCAGGTAAGACTCATTGATGAATGGTAAAATTGGTGACTAAAAGTTGAAGGAGCCATGGGATGTTTTGATACCTACCAAGTATCCTCCCTCAAATATTTATTGATTACAGTGTTTTTAACATGTCCACAGGTGACTTAATATTTTTCCTTTTAATAGAGATAATTTCTCTCCCCTGAATGCACTAGATTTAGTAACTAGCTTGTAGCAGAGTATGGGAAGGGAAAAAATAGTTAACTTCTCATTAGTGAAATCTGACAAATACCACCTTGACTAAATAATCAAGATTAACATCATCAGTAGTATGTCATGTTGATATTGTATGCTCTTAACATAATGTGATGCCACTTTAACTCCGTGGGATTCTCCCCCCCCCATATCTGTAATTCTACTCTTATGTGAAAAAAAACATTCAGGCAAATCTAAACTTAGAGTTCTATAAGACTTAAGAGCAGCAGTTTCAACATGTGGAAATTATGAGAAAAGATTTATACACCATCATAGACCAGTAATGGATCCTTGAACAGAAAAGGGGTTTTATGGAAAGGCTATGAGTTCTAGATAATATTTATGTTTAGTTAATATTGGTTTTGGTAATTATACTATACTTACAGAAAGATTTTTTTTTAAATCGGTAACTAGGGATTGAGCTCATGACCATGTGCTTGCAAGGCAGACACTTATGCCGCTGAGCTAAAGCCCTAGCTAATAGAAAATTTTAAGGGAGACTAGATGAAGGATGTACAGGAAGTCTCTACTATCTTTATAACTATTCTGTAAATGTAACATTATTGAAAATTTTTAAAGAAGACTAGAATGCTCTACTAGGGTGGAGGATTGTCTATAGTGGATAAGGAAAATAGAGGCAAAATTCAAGAGAACCACGGAGAAACAATTCAGAATTAGTTCTAATTTTGAGCTAAAAAAAATACTAATTCTCCAACCTATAATCCCAGCATTCTGGAGGCTGAGATAGGAAGACTGAAAGTTCAAGCCCAGCCTAGGTAATTTAGCAACTTAATGAGATCTGTCTCAAAAAAAAAAAAAAAAATGAAAATGGCTGGGGGTATAGCTCTATGCAGTGCAAAGGGATTGGGTTCAATCCCCGTACTGTCTCCCTACCCCGAGAAAATACTCATTCTATATGATCTTGTTACTATTTCTGGTACTACCTTATAGTTTTGAAGTGATCTGCTGTGTCTCTTGTGAGTTTCACAATAGTTGTTACTCATTAAATAAGGTACTGTTAGACTCATTTATATGGAAAAAACTGCTTCTTAAGAAGTTAACTGACATTTCAAATACCAAAGATAAGGATGGACTTAATACCACGTCTTCCTCCAAATCTTCTTTAAGGGCTAAAGTTATAGCTCAGTAGTAGAGCACATGCTTAAATTAACACAGGCAAAGCCCCAATTTCAGTCCTCAGAACCAAGAATAATGTAAATCTGCTACTTTTCCATTATTGGATAGCTTGTTAAACACTGAAATGTACTTATAGAGTTTTTAGAGCTGTCTTGATATAAAAAACAGTAATAATAAAAAATATTAGCAGAATCAGTTACTTTGCAAATGTCAGAATTTTTTGTGCTAAATAATAGGATTGTGGTGTACAAGATTCTTTTGTACCTGAGTTCAGTGATGAACTCTAAAATGTGTTTTTTTCCTCAAGCTTCGTTTGGAGGCACTTCACCAAATCCTTGTTCTGTTGTCCGGAATGGAGGAAAAAGGTAGCCTGTCGCTGGCAGGAAGCAGATTGAGTTCAGGCTTTCAGTCCTCCACATTGCTCACATCTGTGAGACTGCAGTTCCTTGCAGGGTGTTTTGGTTTAGGCACTGTTGGACACACAGGAGCCAAAGGAGAGAGTGGCCGCTTACATCACTATCAGGTAGGCAACACCTTGCAATATACTTAGAGTTTAATTGTCTTTTTGTTATAAATGCATTGTAATAATGTGAAACTGTAGTGTTTGTGATGAGGTTTAAAAATGTAAAAGTTATGGCCGGGAATATAGCTCAGTGGCACAGTCCTGCCTGGCAAGCACGAGGTTCTGAGTTTGATTTCCCACACACGCACATGTGCACACACACACACACACACACACACACACACACACACACACAGTAAAGGTTTTAAAATAACCTTTTAAAAATGTCTCATTGATTAAGCTTGTTAACTTGTACAGTTGGGATTAGATGTACTTTTCAGATCAGTTTTATTAACCCTTAGCCAGATTATATAGAGCAACACGTAAATTGAGAAGGAGATTAGGGTATGAGAATTGTTTACATTTTTAGATTTGATTATGTTACCTAGTTCTTCTGATTCTTACAGTTTTTTAAAAACTTAACTTTATGTCATATTCTTAGAAAATATTGCTTTATGAGGAAGAAGGATTTTATAGTTAGGAATTATCAAGCATTTAAATAGATTTATTATAAAGCTTTTATATACTGAAAATAAATAAAAACTACCTTCATGCCTTAGAACAGACTATGGATAAAATGTTATTACTTCTTTTGCAAAAAAGTATTATTATTGCTAATAGAAAATGTAATGTATGTGTAATTCAGGATGGAATCAAAGTAGCCAAGAGAAGTATTCAGATTGAAATCCAAGTGGCTGTGCACAAGATTTACCAACAGTTGTTTGCTACTCTGGAACGAGCTCTGCAAGCAAATAAACATCACATTTGTGAGTCACTGTCCCTGCAAATGCAGGATACAGGGTGCATTTTGCCTAAGAGTATGATAAGTAGCTATGTTCTAAGTTTTGTGCTTAATATCCAGGAGTATTATATTTTACAGTTTATGTTAAAAATTTAGTATATGCTCTGTTTAAAGAATATTGTCAGTCATTGCTCTCTCTCTCTTTCTCTCTCTCTCTCTCTCTCTCTCTCTCTCTCTCTCTCTCTCTCTCTCTCTCTCTCTCTCTCTCTTTTATAGAAGCCCAGCAGCGTCTCCTTTTGGTTACAGTTTTTGTCTTGAGTGTTCATTATCAACCAGTGGATGTCTCTTTGGCAATTTCTACTGGTCTTCTAAATGTCTTGTCCCAGTTATGTGGCACGGACACCATGTTAGGACAACCCTTGCAATTGTTGCCAAAGAGTGGTGTTTCCCAGCTGAGTATAGCACTGAAAGTGGCTAGTACCAGGTTACTTCAGATTCTAGCTATCACTACAGTGTAAGTATTGTAAATGTCTCAGTAGAGTTACCTGGAGCCTGGTGTTGCCACACTTAACACAGTTAAGTGCCCTTCTCTATATAATTAAGAACAGAGGGATCTAAAGTTGTGTTCCTATCACTAAAAAAAAAATTCCTTTTATTTCATATAGGACCTATGCTGACAAACTGAGCCCCAAGGAAGTTCAGTCTTTGTTGGATCTACTCTGTAGTCAGCTGAAGAATTTATTATCCCAAACTGGTGTACTTCTTATGGCCTTGTTTGGAGAAGGTGAAAAAGAAGAGGGTGAAGAAGAAAAAAAAATTTTGACTCCAGTGGAGAAATTGAGAAGAAAGATTTCAGAGGTATCATAAGCCTTTCTCTCTGTCATTACCTGAGGTATTTACTGCATCCTCATTGAGTGTGATAAAAATAGATTTCTTTCCATTGTGACACATGAAAGGGTTTTTATATATTCATTTACACACCACTTTTCTTTTAGGTATGTATGCATTAGCTGAGCTAACTGAATCTTGTGTGCTGCACATTCAGCTTCACTTTGGATGTCAGCTCTGGGATATAGATTTTAGGTGACTGGTTTCTTCCAGGTTATGTCTTGCTTGGGGAACACCTCAGACTGTTTCTTAGTATTTTGTCCTGAAAAACCATCTCTAGCCACAATCCTTACCTAAAGAGTCCCTGGGGCTCTGGAGTTGTGATGTTTGGGAAGTGGCTGATGATTAGAGGAGCTGGCCTTCTGCCTAGGTGGTTCTATTCTGTGCTAAGGATAGAATTCCGCATTATATGTAGTCTTATCCTTTTTGGTTGCTGAGACGGCATTTGCTTGTGGCTTTATAGTGGCTATTCTCAATAGAATTTATGCCCTGAATGGCAGAACTACTATATACATCTTTTATATAATTAAGGACAGAGAGATTTAAAGTTGGTCATTTACTCAAAATGATTGTGATCCTGCCATATCTCATTACTGTAGCAGCTCTGGGAATACTTAAAGCCCTTTCTGGATTTGATGGATTGATAAGGCAATTCTGTGTTTCGGTTCCATCATCTATAACTATAAGGATAATTATAGAAGTAATTCAAAAGATCATTGTGAGAATTAAATAATAGTACATTAAAGATTATAGAGTAGTGACTGGCACATAGTAGAAACTCAGTGAATATTTATATTGGGATATTGTAAATAATATTAAAAATTAAATGAAAATATTATTTAAGTCATATTCGTGTTGTTACTGACTTATGGGTGGAAAGAGAAAATATCATGGGGTCATAAAATAATAAAGTATTGTCGCCACCATGAACTTTCTAGAGCAATGAGGCTGGTAACATGTAAACAGATAACTGCAGTGTAATAGAAGAAGCTCAGAAGAAACATCTGAATTTCTTAAGTCCAAATGTAGAAGGTTATAGAATGACTAAGGACTAATTAGCTTTCCAGTTTCAGAGACTAAGCCAGTGGCAAGTTCCTTTTCTCTTTGTATGTGTGTAGTATGGTTCTTCCATAAAAATTCTGAAGGTCTGATAAATTAAAAATGTTTTGTGCTACTTCCTTCTTCCCTCAGGTCTACTGGGGGACACAAGGGTATTAAGGACTAGGTCTCACTAGTGGACTTCAGAAAAGACATTACACAGGCACTTTTCAGCCTGCGGAGCCTCAAGAAAACTGGCACCTTCTATGGCCAGTAAAGAGTACCAGTTCTTCTGTGACGGAGAAGTGGCTTGTGTAACAGCAGTCTGTGTCCACAGCATTTTCCTCTAGCTGTCCTACAGAGACAGCCATTGGACCCTCTCCATTGTATGGGGGTGGCAAGGAATGAGATTCCCTCATGTTAGCAGTGATCAGGTATTCAGAGGGAGGCTGCCAGGTTTGTAACTCTCAGTCCTTCTAAACTACTTAATTAAAAACAAGATATGTCTGCCACTTGAAACAGTAATGATACTGAAACACAAACTGTATAATCAAATTTTTATTAATTAGCTTTGTATTTAGGGCCTCCAGATTTCAAATAGATTAATTAACTCAGTGATTTTTTTCCCGAAATATTTCCAGGGTTATATGCAGGAAAAAATGGTAGTGTGGGTGCTCATGGAAAACCTGAGAATGGTGTTAATACAAATGATTTTCCCAGGACACCTCTAGAGAGAAGGCTTCATTAGAGGAGATAGCTTTTAAACAAAATCTTAAGAGTGTGTAGAGACAAGCTTAGAGTGAGATATGTACATTCATAGGGCAGGCCAATGCTGTTACATTCTTCCCAACTTAGCAGAAAAGCTATTTTCTTAGTGTATAAGAAAGAAGCACAGTTCTGTGTGGGAGAAATGTAGAGGAGGAGGAGTTTGCTGTTGTTTTTTAATTGTCTCCAGCAGTTTAGTCTTGTCATAGATTGCATACCCATCCCTGGGTGGTGTTAACTGGATGCACATTCCTGTCAAGGTAGTTCATGGGCCTTGTGTTGTCATAGTAGCATACATGGGGGTCTCTATCACAAGGGACTTACCTGTGTTTGTTAATTCAGCATACCAAGATCTTTCTTTAAGAGTACTTTCTTTCTTAAGAGTACTGAATGTACTTAGGGTTAGTCCACTGTTATCTTTCAACCTGATGAAGAGCAAAATTTTCATGAGCGAGAATGCAGATCACAAAATGACTGGACTTTGACTTGGTTTTTGATGGCTTGTACTGTAAGCATGAAAGCCCTAAACAAAATTTGTACTTTAGTATTGTCTCCAAGATACTTACTATGTGAGCGGTAAAAGTCCTCAACCACTGAAATGTCCATAAGCAAAAGAAAACCACAGCATTGGGTGAATATTTGGAGACCCTCCTTCATCTTTCCTGGTTTCTTGTGGTTCACATTTGGCAGAGCCCAATTTAGAGGATGTCTGCATCTATGCCAGCAGAACACTACATACATTGGCCATAACATCCTGGGTTAATGCATAAGCCAGCAACATCTTGAACAGCCCATGATCAGCATGTTTTGTCAAACATCCCATATATACAAGTGGAGGAGTAATCCTTACAGAAAGGTTTCCAAATACACCTTCTCTCAGTGCCCTAGATACCACTTTGAGATATACAATATTTTGTCTCCACAACTCATGGTGGAATCCCAATGGCCTATGTTCAGATATTTTTAGAAGACATGTGAAATGACACAACTGATCAAATAGCAGTTTGTGTGCATCAGGTTTAGTCATATGCCCCTGCTTTGTATTGGCTGTGATTGTCCAGGGCTCTCCATTTCTCATGGGATATGATAAAAGGCCCACAGAAAGGGTGTGATTGGCTTCCTAGGGTATGTCATAGGATGACTATGCCCCAGGAGAAAAATGTCCAGGGACATTGGATCATATGGAGAGGATGAGGATTGAATGCAGGGGCCTGAGTTAATGGGGACTTAGAAGGTAACTGTGGGGCTATGGGAGACACAAAGTATCAGGCTCTAAGCTGCAGAATGCAGCATCTGAACCTGCACCTGCTTGAACATTTTTTACCCTGGGCTGCTGAGCATCTATGTGCTCTGAATTGGACACTGCTGTGCATTTCTGCTTTGTTTTTGTTTTTCTCAAGGAGGAGAGAATATTACAACACATTTCAGTGGCAGGAGTGTATTATATTCAGGAGATAGCTGGTCCCGTTGATAGGGTAGAAGACAAAAATTCTTCAAGACCCCATGGAATTTGAAGCAAACTTACATGAAATTTAGATTTTTCATGTTCATCTCTCTTTGGGAAAACTCTCCTCTTTTATTTGGTACAAATTTCTGTTATTTGTGACGTCAACCTGCACATGGTATCAGGGAAACCTCTACTTTCCTCACCTTGCTTGAAACCACACGCTGTATCAATTGGCTTGCCTTCCCAGTAGAACTGAAAAGGGAACACTAATGTTTTCTTACTGCTTGAAATTCAGAGGATCCATGGTGGAATAACACTGACAAACTATGAGGGAAGTGTGCTGTCTCTTGACAACAGCTAGGCTGGGCAAACCCATATTGACTCAAAACCTTAGAAAAGCTGAAAGTGAGAAAAAGGCAATGGGTCTCTCCACAACAGAATTGGAGCTCATATGAATCAGAGCTTTGGAGAAACAGGAACTACAAGGGAGGATTGAACACCCCCATTTCAGTTGAAATTTCCATTGTCCATCCCAGAGATACCTTGGCTGCAGGCCTTAATATATGATTAAAGAGCAACAAATTAGCACAGATCACAGGGAACCAAAAATTTGTAGGGAGAAATATATTTGCTGAGGAGCTCAGAGTAGTCACAAATAGTATTTGGTGTCAAGATGTTCAAAACTTCTCCTCACGAGAAATCACTATTCCAAAGGATCACTGACTGGAAAGATAAAAAATAAAACATTCCAAAAGTTTGATAAAAGTTTTTTTTTTAATTCCATTCCATGCTGAGATTAAAAGTGTTGACATCTGGCAGCCTTTCAGGTTTTAAAGGGAAAAAATTATTATCATAAATTATATCCCCTTAATCAATTCCTTCAGAGCTGTAGGAGAATACCCCCTAATTGGGAGTGTGGACTTGTCTGTCTCACAAAGTTAAATTTAGAAAACCAGAAACAATTAGAACAGCAAACCAACCAAACATTCCAAAATTTGAAAACAAATAAGTTTCACTGTTTTCTAAAAACACCTTTAAAGATTTACATCAGATTGACTGGCTCACCTTATTTCCTATGTTCTTTAGTTGTTCTTTCTAAATTTTCCTTTTGAATAATTATGTTGTACATCTTGAAATCCAACCTCCTGCATATTCCCACAAATATTCACCTATTAAACATGCTGAAAACATGCTGAGGAATCGTTTCATTGTTTTTGGATGGCTGCTCTTGTAATTAAGCTTCAAACATAGTCTCAGATTTCAAATTCCATTAGCTTATAGCAGTTATGCTGCTATGAAATTTCATGGTCAGTTCTTCTACTGAGTGATTATGAGGCCAACAAGACTTCATTGATGAGATAGTGGAAGAGGACTCAGCCAAAAGACAGACATCTGAAGTGCAAAACAAATAATCAATGGAGGGTCATTGGAGAGATCCCCTGCAAGGTCCTGGGATATCTCATGTCCAATCAGCACTGTATCCATGGGCAGATTTTCAGGCATTTCCATCTACAAACTTTTAGAAATGAAGACTTTAGAGAAAATCATTTTGGATAATGAAAAATCTCAAGTTGGCTTCAAACACCATCAGCTCTTGAGAAATTCTTGCCTCCTAACCTATAAAGAGGACCACGATCTCCTCAGTAAAACACTACTGCCACTGAAAAATATTAAGGGCACTGAGTTGAAGCGGTATTTGGATCTCGTTTTGAAGGATTTCTCTTCAACATTTGAAGTTTGAGAAAACCTTCTAATCATTGGCTTTCTGGCATGTATTGGCTTATGTATTGAGCGAGGACCTCATGGCTAGTGTGTGCCATGTTCTACTGGCATAGCTGCAGACCACCTCTAAATTGGACTCTTAGAAATGTGAACCAAAAGAAAGCAGAAAAGATGAAGTAGGGACTCCAAATATTCATGCAATTCCAGGGTTCTCCTTTGGTTGGGAATTTTCCCATGGGTGCTGGATTTTCAGGCTCATTTGATACCACCATCAAGACAATAGTCCAGTACTGATTGTGTGTAGGGCTTTGAGGCTTACAGTCCAAGCCCACAAAAGCCAAGCCAAAGCACAGTCAATTTGGGATTTCCATTCTTCCTCATGAAAATTTTTCTTTCCATCAGTTTGAAAGAAATCAATAGACTGTGGGAGTCCCTTACATGTCAGGAAAGAGCAAGAATGTCTCCAATAATCTTCATCCACTTCACAAAATATGTCAAGTTCTTTTGATCAGGAAAACTGGAAAGAAAATTCGGACACTACCTAGGGAGATTAAAGAAAGTATTACATGAATGAAATGGCTATGGTTGTTTGAGATGAAAAGCTGCTGAATTAGTTCTCAAATGTGGACATAAAGAGGACTGTGGTTGCTTGGCAATCACACTGGGCAGTGATTGGCTGAGCAGCATTGTGACCTAGAAATGAGGTTCTAGGCTACAATTTTTCAGTGGAACACCTGAGTCAGAAAGCTGGGCTTTGCCATGGAGATCTTAATGCACAAAGGAACTTGTAGGGCAAGATTTCAGAATGGTGGATTTTCAGAGGCCTGGTTTCCAACAGTTTTTCTCTCAAGGTTTCATTGCTGAGAGTTTGTAGA